AAGCTTGGCTATGGAACGGGTGGAGGTATTATGGTAACGTGTGTTGCCTGATGTGTGGTACACACCAAAGAACAACTGATTCAATACTGTATGCACGGTCTTAGCCAGCTGAAGGTAAGCTGGAAATATCCGGGCAACCATCAACTCTGTCGAGCGTGGCACAAAAATGTTAAAAAGCATTAACGTGAAAATATGCGCAGATGGAGATAACTGAACAAGAGGCGTCATGGTAGGGAGATAAACTTGGACTAGCTTTGCCTGTATGGCGATACCTTTAATGAAGCCTACGACTCTTGTACTTATGACGAAGAAATAATGGTAAAGAGTGATATTACCAAATAAAGTCCACCAGATTTACTAGCTCAGCTCACCCTGCACCACCGCATCTTCTTTATAGCCCTGACATGATAACGCTCAACAGACAACACAATGATCATCCCCCCTCATGACTATATAAAGAGTGGTTACCACTACAGCACAAAGCATGAGTTCCTTTTAAATGCTTATAACTTCACTGGACTTTTGTACATTTTTTTTCACACATAAGTGAGTATCCAGCCCGAAATTCTCTATTCTCTCTATTTCGTAGTGATATCTTCGGCTTCATTTTAGTTTACACCACTTCCGTATACGCCTTCACCTTCTTCCCCATAAGCTTACCTTTAAACAATAGACTTTGGATACTTCTTCAAGTAGCTTGTAGTCAGAACAGTGAACTCACCTATATGTATCGTGAAAGATATACTCTTGCGTAGCATTTCTGTGTTTTTGCTTCGAGTTTCGCCTGCAGCTCACTTTTGTTATTAATTTTACAGGTTTGCCTAGCCAGTTTTTTATCCACATTGAATCCCAGTAACCGCATCTGTCAGCGTGCACCATGCCACTAAATCCATGACGAAAGCACACAATCCAGGGTCACTCCTGCATTACTCGCCCTACCTTCAAGAACATTCTATAGTCAAAATAATATCTATCTGTGAAGCATTGACGTTCTCTCTGTTGACGCATCTTTTATGTGCCGTGAAAAACGCTGTCTACTGTGTAGCTTGACATTTTACATAACAGTCAGTTCATACTACCAAAACGATCAAACCTGTAAACTGGTTTGTCTTCATGTGACTTATGTTGTGTGAAATACATAACTTTTATTTTTATTACTACTGGTATTATTACATGAATGAAATCCAAAACACAACAGTGGCTCTTTAGCCTGAAGAGCTTTTTCCTCAGGGGGTTTGAAGGTGTGAGTTTCACATCTTTCTTAACTCTGGTGAGAATTCTGCGTGAACTGTCGTGTTAAACTATTGATGTGAGAGCAAAATATTTAATAGTTTTTTAAGTTCTTTATATGGTAGCGCCACGCAAGTTACAGTTCTCATCTCTAAGTGCTGTCATCAGTAATGCCATTGCTGGCCGTGCTAAGGTTACTTATCTTCACATAAGTTCCTATACGTCTTCGGGTCATATATGAAGACGACTGCGGATTACTACGGTTTTTCTGGGCTTCATACTTCCTGTTGATGTTCCATTCTACCCCTTCGACATTTCTGTCTATCATCTGAATGTCACTGAAAGTAATTTGAAATGCAGTTAGTGAAGAAGAATGCAAGTGCACAAAACTCAAGTATTACTCCAGGACAAACATTCATTGGTGGGGTCATATATAACTACATCCCACTGAAATTGCTGCCATGTTCGTTTTCAGCTAAGCATAATTGCTTTCCGTATGTTGCGGTTCGGCCTGATATGTTTTGTTTGAAGTTCCATGCGCATCCCGTTGGATTTATTTATGTTTGTCTGAGGCCTAAAGAACATCCAAAAATACGTTGGGACGCACCGTTTAGCATCCGATACATTGGAGAGTCTTCCACTGGCTGTCCACACAAATATCTGCAATGTGGCGAGTATAGGCGGAACGCTCATGTGGTGCTCTAAGGCGCGTGACTTAAAATCGCAGATTATATGGAGATAAGCGCATTACACGCCTCTGTATAACCGGAGGCCTCGTCAACGTGCTACTCACATGTTACGTTTAGTAATGCCCGCGTGTAAGCTCTGAAACTGGCTAAGATGTGTGAATAGGAAACGGGAAAGGTCTGCTGTAGAAACGTTTTAAAAGGCTGTGAAGACGTTAATTCAATGGCCTTTACTTTTATCCAGCTGCCTAGCTTTTGTAGTTCACATACGGATCCATGATCCTCAGCTTCACAGAAGATTCTGAAATATAGGGTCTATCTGTTTGATGTCCCACGTTGCTGTGAAATCAATCGATTACCAAAATTTACTTTCAGATAAACACTTATCACTGTACTCAAAATCACAGTTAATTTGGCACGGTGTAGTTCGAAAGTTAACTGAAGAATCTGAGTCTCAGTGTTGACGACACCTTCCACTAAGGGGCAGGCATAACCAGCCAATGGGTGCTTTTCCAGTCCTCTCCTGGGCCAGCCAGTTGATCATTTGGACGCCAGTTCTTCCGGGAATCAGTCCTAGCAGTTGAGTGTCAAATGCAAAATCCAGTACTATACGGAGACTACGTTTACCCTTTCCCTTCATACCTTATCTCCATAACCTCAGACGTATTCCGGCCTGATATGAAGACTAGGGGTAGGTGGATCAGGTTCGGAGTCTACAGATAAAAGTTTGCGCAGCATGAACAAGTCTTCACCTCTGTGTGTGACACAACTAAGATAAGAGGTCCAGCTTCTGATGTCATTCTTCATAAGTCAGGTTGACCATCACTGCCATCAAAAAGTGGCCGTCTTCTGAGCTCTTTTCAGAGGGTTATGGCAACCTAAAAAACAAAAAAAGTGCTGCTCGTGCAGGGGTTCCAACAAGCTTCTGAATATGTCGCTAAATGTCCTGGTGGAAGCTGAGCTTAGTGTTAAGGTATTCCCGATCTCCGTGACCTTTTACTACTTCAGGGCGATTGTGGGCCAATACGTAGGATGAAGGGATCTCACCAACATCGCAGGTGTAGCCAACTGCGTACCCGATATGCATATTTATAACGAATCTTAGACCTGTCTGGAGCATATGCACACCAGTGGTTTAACCAGTCTGTCACCAGATTTCCTAAATCATCAGTAAATCGAACCTTGTAGGATTTCATGATAACGAGCATTTGGTTTACATGCAGGTGAGGAAGGACGCAGTTCAGGACATTGTCCACCAACACCCCATCCTACACCAATCTATAAGTGGAAAGACGAGAACTGGTCCCGACTTATTTTACCAGCGAGATATTCTACGGTAAAAGTGAGTTGGCTGCCAGTGATTAGGAAACGTTTCCACGACTGAGAAAATTTGGCAAGTGAAGGTGTGTCGAAAACTGCGCTATGAACCTAACAATTGGGTTTTGTTATTTAGTTGAAACGTTGTGGCTTTCTCAATTGCCTTCACTAGAATTGTGTCCCAAGTGACGGTAATGCTTGTCTTTGTGCAGTGTGGCAGGCGTTGCTACGACCTTGTTTAGGAAATACGCGTGACTGTTGAATCCTTCCAGCCGTATCATAGTATATTTTCATCGCAGGTTATTCTAAACATGTTGGTCAGCAGGCTCACTATCTAGAATGCTAGCTTTCTGACAGCCTATGGTGGAGCTCACCCGATCCCATTGATTTCTCCACATACAGAAGTGTGAGAGTTGTGAGCCTGTAATAATTCTTTCACGGTAGATCTCTAAGCTTGTCCGGTTCTCTTTGAGACAAGTCAGTTAATGACACGGACACCTTTTTCTGGGAGTCGGTTCCAAGAGTTGATTACTCTACAAGAGAACTGCTGCTCTGTCGAGACTACGTCTATTCTTTGGCCTTGTATTCTCCTGCCATGTCCTACAAGGTCTCCCGACCAAGTGGTAAGGAAAAGAGAAGATAGATCAGGTCAGAAGTCATTTCCTGGAGTCCTGTATAGCATGATAAGATCCACCCTCTATTGGAGGTGGGATAAAGAAAAAGGGCTCGGTCCCTAAGCGAATCTTCATAGGTCACGCCAGCAACATAAGAGACCAAGCGCGTGGCCACCCCGTGGACTACATCCAGGAGGTCTGGGTCACCCCTCTGGCAAGGACTTTTGACCCGTGTTCAGCTGCTTATTTTGAACCTGCCTGAGGATGTAGTTAATATGGCGGACACATCACAAGGTTCTGCATTGTGTCAAGTGCCCGAAAACTCCTAGCTGAGACCGCTCAGCAGTATGTCATGGTTTTTAAATTATGACTGGCTGTGATTCTTGGGTCACTGTGGGTCAGTACTGACTGCAGAGAAGTCCCATCTGTATCGTAAGTGCAGCCATTTGTGTGCCTCAACTGCGTGCCCACATCCGTAGACTTAGCACAACTTTCTCTGATTGTGAGGGGGTTCGTCAAGCAAAAGAAGTTTATGCAAAGGCCATCCTATGAACGAAGCAACGAAGCAACAGAGTATCGTCCTCCTAGTGAACCGTTGTGCATTTCTTGGCTGCTTCTGCTTGGATTTTTACTACAGCAATAGTCAGAATTATCGGTGTATAATTTAATGAGTGCTGCCTAGAGCCCACCTTGTTGACAAGAGTGGCTACTGCGTCCTTCCAATTATTATGCTGTGTGCCTTCACTGAGGGATAGTCTAAATATAACAGTCAGTGAGCGAGCTCTCTGAATAGCCTTGGGTACAGCTCATCCGGTCATGCTGATTTTTAAACGTCGAGAGTACTTAGAATGTCAAGAATACATTATTACGTCAGATATCCAAATAGTTTATTCCGTTATATGTCAGTGACTGTACTCCTGAAGTCATTCTCATCAGTGATTTCTGGGTAAGGACCCCGGCAAAATATCAGGCCATGGCTTCTGTTTGTCCTGAATGTCTTCCATTATTTTTCTAGTCTCTGTTTCTTCAGCACGTTCGATGAAGCAAAATAGCTGTACTGATCGCTTCACTGAAGTTTAGTTTAATACTAAGGTGAAAGCGAGATGGCAGTTTTGATTTGAGGTCAAGGTATACTTACCACGTTTTTGTTTTAGTTAGCTAATGTGCTTTTAAATGAACTTCGTGGGGTTTTTTTGAATAATTGTCTGATATATAAGATGGATTGGCATGACCGTAAATTCTGACTCATTAACTTTTTGTCCACGTCTGATTGATTATTTGGCGTTTGTAAGTTGCGAAGGACATCCAATTTTAGAAGGAATCTGTAACCAAACACCAAAGCTTCTAAAGTGCTATCCCCCAAATAAACATCATGATTTTATCTTGCCTAATGATGTTGTGTACTTTTGTCAGCCTGAAGGATGTATTTCATCATCTTTGGCTTCAACCAGATTGGTATTAGCTTATACTGAAGTTGACTTTCTTTCAGGGCACGACTACTTTTGTGTTTACTCTGACGGATAAAGATGCGGACAAGACACGCTTCGGAATTTGTTTGAACTTTTACAGACCGTGTTCTGTTACTTATTCGGTAGGTTTGCATCTTTTATATCTAGCTCAGTACTATTTCATGGTTCTTGCACCAAGTTTAATCTATTTGACAGTGCACGTGTATAAGAACTGTCTAGTGACAATCTTATCAAGTTTACTTATGCTGTAAATACTCATTCAAGGTTACAAAGTACGCATGCTTAGTAACTGACTTCGCACTTAGTCTCCAAAAGTCATTTAACCACCTTTTATTCCAGCACTGCATTCGCTACTTAATGTTTCATATGTTTTTTCAAAATTCAAGAGCGATTTGGTTGTGAGTAATTCCTTTACTGATTATTTTTGTTGTAATAATTCTTTGAGTAACAATAAGAATCAAAGAATTTGTTGACTACTGATTGTGTTGCTTTAATGATTATCAAACCCAGACAAATGGCTATGAAAGTTGCTTCAGCACTTAGTTTATTCGTATTCTTTGCGTCTTATTCAACTTTTAGCAACATTAATCTTTGGGAAAGTTTGCGGTTTTACGGTGTGTTTAGGCTAAATACTTTTGGAAGTCTGACGTTTTCTTATAAAGGCATTTCTATAGTTAATCAATGTATTCAAATCCTATTCTTAGATTATACTTCAGATACCAGTAATAGAAATACCTACATATTTTCATCTTCAATTAATGATGAGTTAGTGGCTACTAAACTCGTCTTCTGATCTTATTTACTCTCATTATGTCATTTGTGAGTGTTAAGTTCAGAAATCCAGCTGCTGGGAATCTACTCACAGACCGATATGCCTGGTGGAAATTTCAGCATCTTGTCATTAATTTAACTTATGTTGTTTATTTCGTTTATGGAAGCTAACAAATGGAACAAATTTACTCGTTCATTGAAGCCTAATTTTAATTTTTTTCTACTACCTAGTGATAAGACATCAATAATTGTAATGAGACAGAATAGTATGAGTTCTAAGCCATATGTCTTCGCTAAAATTGATTAACAGGCAACACACTGTGATTATTAATTGAATCAGCTACAACTAATCGGTTCGCCACTTTTAGCATCGAACGGTCGGTCTCTAGGGTTAAAAACATGATCTTGCAAGGCACCATTTAACCGACAACAATTCAAATAATCCATCAAAGTTAATATGAACTGCCTGGTTCAACAGCTAACAAGCTTAAGATATTTAAGAAGAAACGACTTTCCTATGAAAGTGAAGTGACAAGAAAATACTATTGTTTTTTACAAAATCTATGACGCATTTTTTCTGCTCACACTAAGGTAGATTTAAGAAATGGTTTGCTGGTAAGTATGCAAGTAAGTATGATAATAAGTATGAAATAACTCCTACCTTTCTTTAGAAATTGGGTTTAGGACTTGATGTTAACATAGCTCAGGTAAGTTTATTTTGATCTTAATTTTCTGCATTTGACTATCATATAAATCGATGAGAAGACAGCAGCTGTGAACACCTGTAAGTGCTGTTAATTTTTATGTGAGACCGCGTGTTATTCATACGTTATAAAGACATTCAAAAATCAAAACGTTGTTTGGAGGTACATATTATTCATACTTATCTGAGACGATTATATAAGTATTATAAAAGTTCTAACTTTTTCGAGCTGAATTGCTTTTATATTAATAGCATCTTCTTGAGGTTGGATTCTGACGCTTCTAATTATTACAGGTGTCTCTGAACAATGAATCTAAAGGCAATCAAGTTTCTGATCCACTTCATTTCCGGACAAAAGAAGAACACCTTAATGACAACAACAAACAATCAATATTAACATCATTATGTCTGATTAGTCACCATCCTTTCTTTTCGAAATTTCGACAATGTTTACATTCCCTAAAAGAAATAATTGACAGGTGTGATGAGTATTGTAGAAATTTGTACGGTGCTGACAAGTAAGCTTCTATCCATTTCGAAATTTTGCTAAATCATATTGGAGTTAAGTACAATTAACCTATGAATTTTAAAGGGTGAACATTTATCGGTGTTTCTTACAGGGTTACTGAAGTTAATTTGCTTTATTTAAAACACAAAATCTCACAACGTTATGAAGGTTAGCTGAGGAACAGAAATCCAAAGAGTCAACAAAAAGTTGACACAACGATATAATAAATAATAATAATAAATAAATTTCAGTGACCTACATGTTTCTTGTGCATGTTGAAGGACAGTAGAAACTGGCTGCTTGATAACTAGCTGCCGAGGTTTTGAGAAGTACCTAATGCCCCAACTTACTGCATTTCAAGGTTTTCTGGATTGACTTACGGTAGTTGTCGTGCACATTTATTTAATGCGCCTAATGTGAAAGTCGGGCATCTTTCGATTTTCTGTATGGAATTCACTAGTGCTTGTATTGTTGTGGAAAATGCGCATTTAGTAAACCTATTGCGTCATCCTGGGTATCACTGAGGTTTGAAAGATCTTATTCTAAAAAACTTCGTGTTCGTTTACGTATATTCAGTCTATAATGTGCCTGTATAGCACTTCTGTTTTCCGCCTTAATGCAGTGATTTTATCAATCTAAGGAGAATGTGACAGAAGTATTGTTGCTTCAGAAATGAAGTTTATGATATGTTAGTTTGTTAGCTAACTTCAACAACGTGTACGTGGGTCTAAGTGAATCATGTATTCTTAGCACTTTCAACGTTTCTGATTCATCAGCGTCAGATAATGAAAGGCAAGAAAAGGTAAGTGGAGATAATGGAAGCTGTATTCAATTCAGGGGTCAAAATTGGTCATGTGTGGTTCAAAAGCTGTACAAATTTAAAAGCATATTTTTCATTCCAATGTCAAATGAAATCCAAATAATATTTAATACCAGCAGCGTCTAGTTTAAGAGACTTTCTAAGTGTATTTTTTATCACTTTAATAAATGTACTTACTAAGGTTTTCTTATCTCAATATTTTAGTACATTCTACTCCTTCTGGTCAACTTTACTAACTGGTGGGTCAATTAAAAAAGCAAGTTTTAACCGGTTAGAAAGTCAGATTGTCTACGAAATTGAGTCTTGGATTATTCATCTCTTGAATGCACCTGTTCCTCTTCCTGGAAAGACATGTCTTCATGTAAGATTATTCTGTTTTGCTTATAAATGATTTAACTTGTCTGCATGCTTGCGAACAATTTTTTTCTGTAGAATCATTTGTCATTTTGCTTTACCTAAGTGAGAAGTTGGGGTTTGTAAAAAATTATAACTGCTTTCCTTTTAATCGTTTTTAGTGTAGGTTATTATTGTATTGACTGTTAGTTACTGATTGCGTATTGGATTACTTTTAAAAGATTCTGGATAATTTGCTTCTAGATAGCTTTTTCGCGAAATAAGTCGAGTAACGTTACCTTAACTGACGGCGTTGGTACAGGTTCGATTCAACGTCAACATATCTTTAATGATCACTGGCATCTTGAGGTGTTATTTAGGCTAATAAATACCAAACATCTGGCATAGTGGAAATGCATTTTTCTTGTTTTAGCTTCCATGATGTTCATCTTAAAGTTGTTGGTTTCGAATTGAAATAGACTGAAAATTCTTATCGTGAAGTTGATAAGTCACATTGTAAGTACAAATTTCAGCTATGTGACGCTACCTTAGTAATAATTATTTCGACAATGTTTTTTCTAGTGTCATCAAAAATACTCATCAATAGCACTCTTTAGGAAGTGAGAGAAGCTTTTTATCGACCGAAGTGTACAGTGGTAAAAGTTGATGGTCTACTTTAGGTACAAAACTGGACTGATAATCTTACTCTTTTCATTCTCGATTTTACATTTACGCTGCATGCATATTTTTCTGTCCCAAGGAATAATAAGATACTTTTTTATACAGAGCTTCATTTCGGTACAATTATTTTGAAGACTCACTGGTTCATTAAAATGTAAACAATATGAAAACCGTGAGGATGATACTTAAGAATTAGTCACATGTTTCTTCTACATGCTTCAAGGCCGTCTGGTTACTTTGTGTGTAGAGTATAGTTGAACTGCAAAAAACTAGAACCTCTAACAAATTTTCAAATCATTTGAAATTACGACACAGACTTTTATAAAAATCCAAATTCCACAAGAATGCAGTCTCGTTAATTGAATAACGTTGGTCCATTACCCTATGATAAACATAAAAGTAGTCAGAAATTACGTGTAGTAATAAAGTTATCTATTTTGGCAGTGAGTCTGGTGGCTTTGAGTTAATTGTAGTACTAGGATTCAGTAGTGTTGTCATTGTGTATAAAAACTTGTGAGTTACTGAACTTTTAATAACATCATTTCTTCCTTTTGTCTGAAGTTATTGCCTATTACTTACAATTTTTCATTTGCATAAAACTTTATTATATTTTGTGAATTACTGCTACTGGTAAGAATGGAGCAAGATTTTACCCTGTCGGCCTAGTGAACTCCTAGCGAAAGTAAATATGATATTACTAAAGCTTGTTGTGTCTAGGCTGTATGAACAGTTCCTTTCATACAGTCTTTGGGTCTTGGGATTCCAAAGGAACAAAAGATTTTGTTGGTAGGTTATTGAATTTGTTACGCCTAGAATGACAGTATATTTGGTGTTCCTCTTCGATCTAAAGTGTTTGCACCGGAAGAAATTCTGATTTCTCTACAAGCTTCTTTCAAAGAAAAGATGAAGACGAACGGGATGACTTTATTGATAATAGTGGTTGTTGAAGTAGCCAATAAGGTCTCTTTGTTTGGCGAAAAAGTACTTTTGCAGCCAACATAGAAAAATGTGGTTAGTTTTTTAGTAGTTGCCAGGTTAATCAGTAGAGTGGTTCAAAAAGTGACTTTATAAGGAGGTGACCCCAAACGACACCCTAACAATTAATCAGATAACCAATTAGGGTTCTATACTTTGTGGAAAAGTGATTTTCGAGCTGAAATAGGGGAACCTAATCCGTTATTTCAGTTTCTGCTAAAATGGCCTTTAACGGGGTGACTTTAAACGCCACCCTAGCAAATAATCAATTAGCTTTTTATATTTCAGCTGGAGAGATAGTTTTTTCTTGGAGTAGAGAAACGTAATTGGTTATTAGCATAAGAGTGAAACCCAAGCACTGTAGTAGAATGTTTCCAATCTAGTTGATTTATTAGATATGTCACACAGTGGAACAGCTGTTTACTATATTGCGTTTCGGACATGATTTGTTGTCCATAGTCATATCAGGATAACCATATAACTTTGACACATTCTTTACATAGTCTTAATTTTGTCACCCCCTTTGTGATGGCAGGGTGGAGGTAGAGGGAAATTAGGACTATCTAAGGGATATCTCAAAGTTGTGTAGTTATCTTGACCTGACTATGGACAATAAATTGTCCGAAACGTAGTCCAGTAAACAATACTGTTTCACTGTGTGATACTCCTAATTGGTTACCTCAGTGGTTGCTAGGGTGGGCTTTAGAACTGTTAGATTCAGATGAGTGATTGAAAACCTCCTGTCCGAAAGCCTCCTAATCGTTATGAGTTATAAATACTGATCGAAGCAGATCTGGCCTAAAAACTGGGTAATATATTTCAAGCTAAACAGCTATTTCTTACGAATAGTCATATAGGTAGCAATTGTCTGTAGAATTCTTGCTTCTTCTCTTGATCTGCATTATTTGTGGGTTCGTGGCATTGTACGGTTGTGACTTTCCTTCCTTCTGAGTTGAACCTTGCTGTCATGATCCTGATGCTGGAGGAGATTGGTTCCCACGGTATGAGAGCCTTTGATGCTGTTGGGGACATCATCGTAGCCACTCCATAACTCAGTGTGCTGGTTCGTGGTTGTCGTCTGGGTGACAACATTGGAGTAGATTATTGACTCTCCTCTCCAATTGACAGTTGGGAGAGTCCACTCCCATTCCATCTACTTTCGCAAATTCCCAGCACTTCAATGTGATGCCTTCTCATCTCGTTTGCAATCTGGGCAGCCTTGGTAGGTTCAAACATGGTGTGGACATTCCATGTCCCCACGTTTACTTTCGCTTTCATGGAGAGAAGAGAAGACACATCGGCCAATTGGCTTCCCGAAGACTTTCACCAACCGGGGTCATTTTGCCTCTTCGATTCCAGGGAGGAATAATTTTGTTTTTATTTTCTATATTTTGTCTGTGCTTTGAAGTTTCTGTAGCGGTTGGATTTGTTTTACGTGGTAGGGTTGCTAGCCTTATGCCCAAACTTCCCTGTTTACCCGGGCTTAGGAGTGGCTGGTAACTAGTGAACTAGTTAACCAGGCGAGGTTAACGTCAAACTAAAGGTGTTAGTGTTTTACCTGCGTAATTACTTGTTATATTTTTAAACTTGCTTTATTGTTAATTTTTTGATGAGTTTGTATGATTTTTGCTAGGTTGATAGAAGGTAAGATGTAAAGCATGTTTACTGAAAGGTTTGCATAATTGAGCAGTGATTTGTTGTAGCATGCTTGGGAATTTCTTTGCTTGAACTTCGTTTTCTGTTTTCAATAATCTGTAAAAGATTTACTGCTTTGCAGCATTTCAGTTTATCCTCATGGTTTATAAATTGTTAATCTGTAGTCAGTTAAGCGGAATGTTGAATAGTTCAGATCTAGATAGAAAATGCAGTTGGATAGTTCCTGCACTAGTCGAAGAATAAACTGTATTCTTCTTTGTAAATAGTTTGAAGATTACTAGTTGGTTTGATGACAGTGGTATTTATGTAGAAAGATGGTTAATCATCACTGATATGGATACGATGAAGGGTATTGCAAACAGGATCGATAGACTAGACTAATCATCACTGATTACTGAAAAACCTATATAGCTATATTTTGACCGTATGTTAACTGCTACGTGTACACACTTCACTCATACAAGAGGTCGTTTGTTACCTGAATAACTTAGTGGTATAGTATCAAACTTCAGCACTAAGTGATTGAAATACAAATTTTTGGTAGAACATGAATTTTCTCGAAGTTTGTAGGCATATGTCACCTATGAATAACGACAAGTACAGGACTTAGGTCCCGAGAATTTCTGGTAATTGACTGCTAACATCTAATGAATGAGAATAAAGCAGAATTTTCTGTCGAGAATTATTATTCACAGTCATTGAACATAGAAAATATTATGGTTACAATGAATTTAATGGCTAGAGATATATTTGTGTAAGTTTAACCTCATTTAAGAGATTAAAGTAAGTATATTATCCGCATGCACTACAGAAATTACATTAAAAGGCACAGAACTAAATTTGATGAGTTAATTCTCTTAAAGTTCGATATTAGATGATACACCGTTTGAAATGGGGATGATTTTGACTTTCTATTCACTCAGAAGACTAAAGGTTGTGGGTTGTAAGGCCATTCAAGCGATCAGAGACGCTAATGTAACTCACAACTGATGTTATTTAGTCGAAATACACCCGGAATTAATTAGGACTAGAAGTGTTGGTAGTCTAACTCAGATCTTATGTCATTCTTATACAGTGAAATAATTTGTCTACTGCCCCTCTGTATCACTGTGAGATATCTTGAATAAAAGCTCCAAGCTTTTTAAAGTGGTTTATTTAACTTTCAGCATAATTTGAATCATTCATTAAATGATAGGTTTGAAAGTGATTTTCACTTTAAGTTGATGATCAGTAAACAACCGGTGGATTGTTTAGAGACTTCGGTACTGAGCAATTACAACAATTTCAGAGATAAGAATGAGCAACATCGAACCTCATGTTGACCATATCAGGACTCAGGTTACTGAGTAGAATTCAGGTTGCCATCATTTTGTGCTACTTTAAAGTCGTCATAATGCATGATCTATCATCTCGTTATATGCATGTTACTACTAGCAAAGTGTATTCGTTTAAAGTTACAATACAAATTGGCAATGTAAAATTTGTTCACGGTCTTATAAATAACAGAATTTAGAATTTATGAATTGCTGAGCTCTCATAAACTTAGAGTTCCTGATAGCCGTGTACCTTTCGTCCAACATGACAACAACTTGTGAGCCTAATCCGTCAAAATGTAGAAAACTTGTTTTTCATCATTTATCAATGTCAGTTCACTATGAATGCAATGTTACAGGTAATTGATCCTCTGTCTCCTGAAAACTCGGCTGTTACTATATCAGCAATAAGAGTCGAACTCTGTTATGGATATGCTTTTATCTACCGAGTTTCTTGAAGTACTAAAACATAGCTTATATTGTATATCAACTTTATTGAAATGTGATAATATCATTTTTATGTATTCACGTTATTTACTTCACAACTTTTACACCAAATCGGAGGATAATTTTATCGACGAAACTGTTTGTAGTGCTGCTTTATTCCTTTGAAATTTTCTTTCTTAATAGTTTTCTTTAAACTCGTCAAGATAGTCAATGTATAGAAGGAAGCATGAGTCATATTATGCTTATACTACTTGTCTGAATTTTGTGTTAAGCATGGCTAATGATAGCGAGGTGCCTTTTTCCGACTAACCCATTTTTTCTTTGTCGTTCAACAGAGGTTCGATGAAGTAAACGTTATAATTAGTTTTTGTTATACTACATAGCCAGTTCAATAGGATACTGAGTTTCTGATATGACGTACATTAGAGATTCGTAACAAGGGTTCAAATCGCGTGTGAAGCGAAAGTCTCCTTTAGGCTGAAGTAATGCCTTTGTGTTAACTGTAAAAACATCAAAGCATAAGTTCAGGGCTTTCAGATTATTGCTTCTACAGAAATTATGTTTCCTCAGAGATATCAATTCATGTCATACAGTATTCAAGTTAGGGATTATCCTGTATATCTGTATTTAAGTGGCTAGCTACCTTAGTTTATCAAATTTAGATAGATATCATTTTAGGTAATGGAATGATTGTCGATACACTTCTTCCTGTCTGACCGTCAATGAAGAGTCACTACATAAAAAGCATATTACGTTTAGGCTTTTAGTGTTTAGTTGCCACATTGTTTTACCCCTTCTAAAAGCATAAATAATTCTTAACGTGATTATTATTGTACATTGCTGGAAGTGCATATTTTTTAGTCCATTTAACGATAAATAGGCCACAATGACATTTAAGCTCAAACTTATCGCATTTTCATACATTTGAAGCCTAAATTGGAGGATATAGTCAATACACTCCATCAGCCAGACGGATAAATTAACGTAGAACTTTACACAGAAGTACATTAGTTTGAATTCCTCCACTTCACAGCAGTACACGAAAAGGAATTTAGTAGGATAAGAATGATATTAAAATACACAAACGTTCGTGAGAGTAGAAGGGATAACTAAATAAATAAAGACCCATAAAACGTTCTAAATTTCAAAGATAGTAAAAAGTCTTCACATCTCTGTCATCACAACAGGTTTCAAGTCTCTAACTATTGCATTATTATAATCTCGCGAGTCACATATAAGCACTCAAAACCTTCTTAAGTAACTCACTCCAACAGTCATCCAATTTATGTTTTGCTGTCATATCTTGATCCAGTTACGCTTAGAATTTTCCAGATTAAACCTTTGCATAACATTTCTTGTTGATGTAGACTTAGTAAAAGTATTCATAATTATAAGATAAATAAAATGTTTATGTAATCATTAGCTTTTCACTATGGTTGGTGACAAAGTAAAAGTAGTCCAAAAGTGTTTGTGCAGAATAAACAGATTTCAAAACTCACTGCCTACCTACATTTTCCGTTCGTGAAATGGAAACGACAAAACGCACTGAGTCACTTTATGCGCACTCGTGCGGCAGGTAATGAGCGCCACCTATTGCGTAAGGACTAGTGATACTGCCTGGCTGCCCGTGGCTGACGAAACGTCGATGGGTGAAGTGAGGTTCGGATCTATGGCTTGCGTTTTTGAAGTCAAATGCTTTGATCAGTCAGTCACAGATCCAGTTGACTACCTGATAGAGTAGAATATTACGCTGATTACTATTTGACAACCAAACCACGTTCATCGATGACCTCTTCAAGTTTCTAGATGATATAGCTCCAAAACTTAGATGCTTTACCTCTCACTTCTTTGTCAGTTGCTTCAGAAAACTCAGTACAAAGTATAATAAATACGTGTTGCCCAGTCAAACAGTTTAGTAGGTATACTGCATCGCATAGATGATGACCTTCCACAAATGGGCCTGTCCGTTCACCTTGAGGTAAGTGTAGAATGTGTTTTCGTATACGATTAGAAATCAATTATGTCTTTATCACAATATTTCATCTACGTTTTTCTTCATTTGCTTATCTTTATTTCGTTTTTCTAGTTATCTGTTGGACCAGAAGCATTTTATGAAAAGTTGGTTTTTGCTTTACCTGATAAGACACGTTTAACACTGATTGATTTTCCACTGCATTTACCATTGGAATTATTGGGAATGGAGACATGCTTAAAAGTTCTAACTGCAATTATGTTAGAACAAAAGGTAAAGTTATTCCATATTTTTGATGACTTATTTTTTATTTTGTTAAATACACATGAACACTACTTACTTCTATTCTATGAAGGCGTGAAAGTTATTGATGATGCTGTTATTTCAAACTAATAAAGAATAGTAGATATATAAGCAGAAATAAGGTAATTTCATTCTAAATAATTTGATTTGTTATTCAGAAGTTGATCCTCATACAACCTTTTGTTTTACTCCTTTCTTCCTTTTATCCTTCTGTTTATATATATGTGGTACGTGTGATGGAAACATCTAATTCGTCAACCTTTTAGTTGGATAGCATTTGTGATATCAATCCATCAGTCAATATTGTTGAGTATTATCGATAATGAAAATAACTTTCATAAGACTTAATTTCAATACTTAATACTCTAAAGTTTTCTGACAGTTCAACTTATCCAAAGTATAAAAATGGCAGAAGGATTAAAAACTTGATTTTTTTTTAACAACTTTTCCAGTTCATATATCCTTTTCCAGTTGATTTCCAACATCATCTGCCTGTTTATCTAATCACTACATGTGTTCATTTCTCATCATAAATAAATAGAAAATTCAGAGCTATTTATTCAGAAATACACTTTAATGGTACTTAGATTTCACTTTCTGGGATGGAAAATAGAAGGAAACTGAGTTCTAGTTGTTGATAACAGACAGGAAGTGTCACCTTTCCTTATTTTGTTTCCGATAATCCGATGAGAATCAGTTTTCTTTTCTTAAGTTGACTTGGATGCTTCAAATCAATTTATTCTGTTATTATGAGTAGTCGATATCATGCTTCGTTGTTGAGCTTTTGAAAAAATTTTATTTCTCACCTTAACCACTTCAATAAGTGCTAAGTCTCTCCACTGTAACCTGTGTTTTCGCTCCAACAAACTTGTTTGATTTGTTGTTTATAGTCGGTGTCAAGTTTTGATATCCTGTTTCGGGGCATTTTAATTCCTAATAGCCTCCATCTGACCATCTCATTTATGTCATCCCCATCGAATGGCTGACTTTTTTAAGATGTGAAAATTGTCATTTTACCTTTACTTTTTGCGTATTTGCTAATGAGTGTCTATAGATATCTGTTTTTAGGTAGGAAGCTCTCAAATCCTTAACTGCATATTGGATTGTGCTGCCAAAACAAATTTTTCTTTTTCTATCGAACAGCGTCCCGACTGATTTTATTTCTGCATTTGATCGAAGAAAGCTTTTAGGTTGGAAGTATTGTCCCATCTCTGATGGCTTCTTATGTGAGGATATTCCTGTCGATTTTTTAATCTTTTTCACCAAAGAGGGGTGTTTAAATGTTTTGTGGTATCATTTTCTTCATTTTCCGGTGTAAAATTTAGAGTTAAACGACTGAACTTGTTTATCAGTACTTCCTCTTATAATTTAGGTTTACATACGCTCAGGTTGTCATCTTTAAACTGCTGATATAGTCTCATCCCTCATACATATTGTTTAAAGCTACCAGAATCTAGACTTAAAGGAAACAAACTATCAAAAAAAGATACCCACGGTACTCCTTGTTGCAATACTTGTAGTTTGGTTGAGCAGTTGGCGGCTAAATCAAAACTAAGCATTTCTGTGAATAGAAAGAATAGTTTTATAAGTCTCATTCCTAGGGCAGCGTTATTGTAACTTCACTATATGTAAATCATAATTTCAGTACTTGGCACATATGTGAGCAAAAAAAACAATATGTGAAGATGCAAACTTCTTATTCGTTCTCAGTTATCTGTATACATGCCTAGAACATTGGTTATTGTAAATAGAATTTATTTTAGCATGCTTAAAGAGAATCATTCCTTCTTCTTTAATACCTGCATGCTTTCGTATCTTTCATATCAAACGTTTTATGTTCAATCCTTTGTCTCTGTTTCTTATATTTATTAAAGGGAGTTAATTATATGTCTTTATTTTTCATCTACTGGTCTTCTAATTTACTTTTCACAACTCACAGGAAGTTTATCAGCTATGTTTCATATTAGTGAAATAATGAAATCAAATAGAAGAACCAATGGAAATCTTGGAATAATATTTTATGCCTTTAATATAAGTGTAAAACTTGGGCACTGTGGTAGAATTTAATCTCATATTAGATTTGTTTATTTGATTTATAACACCCTGATCTAGTATTATTTACTTGATGACGTTTCAAACATAAATTATTGCTCATTATCTAATCAGTTTCCTAGCTCTATCATTTAGATATTTGACAAATCTAAATGATGAAGCTAGGAAACTGACTAGTCAGTGCAAGGACCTAAACAAGGAACTGAAGCACGTAAAAGAACCACTAATAGTTAACAGTTATCCTCTGCAGTTTATTAAGAACTTCATACAAATACACAAGAAACGAAATAATAACAGTAACGCGAGTACAAATAATAACGATAACGCAAGTAGAAAGGAGTTCACAGCCTTCTTTGTGTTACTGTATGAGAAGGGAACATCAGAAACGTTACCTAGGATTCTTAACAAGACTGGAATTAGGGTGGCATTTGAACCTACAAACTCACTCAGAGATAAGCTTTGTCATCTGGCTTAAGGATTCGATAGATCCAACTAAGCAAAATAGTCTGATCTACCAAATCCCATGTAAAGACTGCGAGGTCAAGTACATAAGTCAAACTAGCCGGTCGTGGTCAGTCTGATTAGCGGAACATAGGAATTTGGCTAAATATAGAATGACAGATCCGAATAAGATAAGTAACCTAGAAAAACGCCCGACTATTGCAATGCATGCATTAAGACACAACCACACCATAGGGTGAGACAAAGCCAATGTACTTAAGTCTAATATAATTAGCTGGAAGGAAAGAGACTGACTACTGAATCTTTCTTCATCGAATCAACACCCAAAACATGTAATAGAAATGACGCAACACCAGAAATATGGAAGACTTTACTACCAATAAAAACAAAGTATAAGAGGTGACAGGACTATACGAATCAGAAGTACGAATCAAAAGTAGTGTGAATACATTGATATGATTGTGAGCATTAATTTACACTTGAAACGTCATCAAATAGGTAAATCAAAAAAACAAATCTAATATGGAATTTCATGCCTTAATTTTACTGTCTTCATGAGTATCTTAGTAAGGGAACATTACTAAAGATATAAAGAGGCATTCGAAAGCAGACTAGGAATAAGACACACCATAAATTGGAATAAGATAATTGTATGTTGACGACTGCAAAAGGTCGATTGGGTCGATTTTCGGCCGTTTCGTCGACGTTTCTCTCTCAACTGCTCACTTTTATTATCCTCTGAACCACTGACGCAATTTAAGTGTGATCTTTCAACACTACTTACTGAAGTCATTCATACAGCACAGCACTAGTATGATTGATGACTGGCTGCTTCTTTGTATAATATTATTATTATGACTTTGAAGGATTATTTGTCGAACAGCGTCATTCGGAAAATGTAGTTGCACTAAAGCTTGTTTGTTGTTCCCATCTGGAGTACCTTTCTACTGAGTAGAGTGTGTAAGTAATATGTTGCAAAATAGGTATTGGTTTGATGTAACAAGGGTTCTGGGTTACTACTAACACTTACTAACTTTTTCATCTTTTAAGATTAACTTGGTTTCGAAAACTGAAGAATGGATAACGAGAGTAGAAAAACAGACTGGTTGCTGTTGGCTCTACATATTGCTTGGTTTAGTTTTTCTGTGCCCACATTGTCTACACACTACAATGAAAATTATGAGGCTTTTGTGTAATTAACTATCTTAGTTTTTTTCCTGGGAATTTAAACTGGGAAACTAATTTTTACAAACATGGGTAAACTAAGTTTTGATTTCACTTCGTTTATAAATTTGTTGGTCACTGGAAAGCAACCAGTTTCATGTTGTCTAGTCCTTAATGCTGAAGAGTACCAATGGGCTTGAAACCTAAGTCTGAGGCTTCTCGCTGCTTTCTTCCAACTGTCTGACATTATTTCACGTAGGTTTTACTGGTATGGAAATGTTCCTATACAACTTGACTGTCGAGCTAAATATACGTTATGTTAGTCATAGGTAGAGTATTGTTGCATAAGGAGGAAAATACACACACTGTTCAGCATAGGTAAGTATTTGAAGTTAGTAAACGAAGTCCTAATCATATTGAAATCATCAGCATAATGGAATACAAGTAACGTGTGTATGTGTCTAACGTAGTAAGAAATTTACATTAAGGCTTATGTTTTCCGCTTTATATCATTTTGACATTTTCATATCTATTGTTTTAACACTCTTTTAGGTGGTTTTACAATCAAGAGATTATAATGCTTTAACCATGTCAGTGATGGCATTTACAGCTATGCTTTATCCACTGCAGTATATGTTCCCTGCTATACCACTGTTACCGAATAGTTTAGAAGGAGGTGAAAATGTAAGTAAATTGCTTCCATGCCTGAGTTTTATTTATTGACAAAAGAAAATCCCTTTGAAGTACTTCATAAATTTATGTTATTTATCCTATCATGAAGAAAAAAATTATTCCTCTAAACGTAAACAATTATATAGTAATTCTAAGTTACCCATTTGGTTTGAAATATATAATTTTCTTGCGTAGCGGTAATAAATGAGAACATGCAGTTTCACTGTGCATCTCAACTTATTGAATCTGTCTCTCTTCTGTTGGGCAGTAAAACTGTTTAAGTTGTCACGCTATACTCACATATAAAACCTTCATGTCTCGTCATCAAAATTATCGTGATCAAAACACTGAAAGGTGGTTCTTTATCGTTTTCAAAATACGTGGTCTAGTCTACTACGATAGTCAGCTTAACTATATATATATATATATATATATATATATATATATATATATATATATATATATATATATATATATATATATATATATATATATATATATATTCTGACAGGTTATAAATTTTCTAGTTGCACAATTTCATTGTATCCATCTTACAAAGTTAGAGATCAACTTTTAGGAGAATAATCTGTCTGAATTTGAAGAAATATTTGGACCGATGACTATATGGTTTGTGAACGAAAACAACTTCATCAGCATCGGCAATATAATTTACAAAGAATCTTTTTCTATACTATATCCAATAATTCTATGGTTTGTGATGTGAAGTTGGTGTTTACCTTAATAAATATTGTTGTAAGAACAAGATTGAAACTGGGCGAAAATGTCACATCTTAGGTGTGATGACCCCATAGTGTCAGCCTTTGAGTTTCGATTGTCTAACTCGACAGTTGAGAATTTTCCCTAGATCTGAGATTCTAGTTTATAAATTAAACTGAATAATATTCCCAGTGTTATGTAATTTTTCGGTGATTCCCTGATCGATTTTAGTTCCTGATAAAAGGTGATTTATGATTACTTTGCTTAAACAGGTTTCCAAATTGATTTTTACTGTGAATACTGAAAAAAGTAGATGAAAGAGGTGCTGTTACTAAAATTCAGAGACAGCTGATTTTTAAAATATTGATGTATGGATGTTTTGATTTTTTTTTCGGAGCATAACCAACCGTTTAGTGTGTTAACAGTTAGCAGTTAAAAAACCCAGAACAGTGGAGTTATTGATAGATAAAAACGAGAAAACAGCACAACTCAATATGATACGAATTCGCTTAGAGTGAACTGTATAAAAAACTGGTAGCAATAGTTATTTTTGGGGGTTATCCAATATGTATCAGCTTAGGCATTACACTTTAAAAATGTGCCAACAGTCTGAATGGAGTTAAACGATATTTTTTAATTTTCCTAAAAAAATGTTTTTAGTTACTACTTTCCCCAACTCCATATATAATTGGCATTCCAGCTACCTTTTTAAGTCAAAAGGCAGATTTTCGATTTCCTGCAGATGTTTGGTTAGTTGACTTGGATACAAATAAGGTAAGTTAGTTAGTTATCTACTTTGTCGTCACATGTACTATTAATATTTACACATGTTTACAAATGTATCCAAATCCCTAACATGCTTAGACTGAACAGCTTGTATAAATTAATGCCTTACTAGCTACTCTTCATGAAGGTACAGTAATCGAATATTGAATGGTGTCAGGTTTCTCGCCACATTTTGTAATGATAATGATAGAAACTTACTGGCTAAATAACGGACAGTAGATTCTACTCGTTATCAGGTCTTTAAATACAATAGATAGGAGTTCTTGTTTATGGTAGGATCTAACGGCAATATGCATACAATTTGATAGACTAAAAAATGACATGCGTTAACAGATAAATAGAATGGGTTGTGTACATATTTCAGTTGAGAAGGTTATTTGTTATGCGGTAGTGACCCAATTTGTAGTACTGAATTTCTGTTAACAATGCTTGATTTCATATCCCATGTGAAACATAGTATTTTCTATATCACCTAATATGTCGAATAGAAGTCGAAAACTACTCAGCAATCTTGTACACATTCGTGAAGTAGGCAATGAGAGCCACACCTATTATATGAGGTCTACTGAAACCTTGGTAAGTGGAGCGGTGTTCCTACCCATGACCCACTGGTTGAAGGTCAACCCCCTAAACCAATATATATATATATATATATTTCCACATTCGCTCACGGTGTGTAACGAATTCCTGTGGCACCTTCATAGCTGGACTAAAAATTCGTAATCTTTTTCAAGCTCAATGTTCCGCTTGATCAGTTTATGAAACATGAAGCCCCATCGATAAAAGAACCATTGTTTGACCACTATACTTTTAACACAATGTCAATATTTTGCTTACTCAAATGATGATAAAAGCATAACTTCCTTGAATATGTATTTTCAGATGAATTGAAATATGACAATTAAAAACTTGCATGTTGCATTTCATCTCCCTATTAAATACATTGGTATTTGAAACTACTGCTTGCTTAATTTTGAGCAAATTACCGTTTCGAAATATATCGGTTGGGACTGCTTTAAAATAATATCCAGTTAGTGTACAAGGTGGTTTGCGTCTAGTGCAGTTGAGATACACTCATTTTCACTTTCAACTGTAATTCTGTGAAAATAAGCGTTTACATATGCAGGTGATTTTATTAGGCTATTAACTGTGTACTAAGTGGCTGGGTATTGATTCAATTCATTGGTTATATACTAATTTTCGGTATCATTACTTTCACTTATGAATTCGATATTTGTTCGCTGAATTTATCAGTTATTAAATCTTATAGTGACATTCAGCAGTCGTCATTAGAATTCCAACAAGTCTCAATTCTCTTAGTTTGAGCTGGGGTAAAAATGTTAAATCATGGGGTCGTGTCATTTTCTACAACCGTTTGCACCTGTTGGTGCGCCTAGCATATGTTGATTGGATCTGCATGGTGGATGTGTTGATAACGTTTCATGGCTTAACTTTAAATTGCTGACATAAACTATTATGCAAATGTAATGCACTAGACTTTAGAGACATTTTATTGGACAGGAATTTTGTTTCTATGACCATTTAAAATTAACTGTTTTTTACCATTGTAAAGTTTGTAATCAAACTTACTTAAATTACTTATTCTAACTATACGATTAAATTTCTTTTGTGTGTAGATGATGGGTAGTTCACTTCTGGAACCTATACCTACACTTCCAGAAAAGGAAGGCCAAGAACTATGTCAAAACTTGCACCAGGTAGTCATTTTTACCTGTATTTCATTTCAGTCAAAAAGTTCACTAGCCTTTAGCCTTAACGTATACCGATTACAATTTATCTTGCAGTTATTTTCGCTTAAAATATTTAGATTATTACAACTATGTTTATTAACGCTGTAGTAATATCGTTTGAGGACAAACAAACTTATACTACTCACTAGTAGTATTTAAGTGCAATTCAGTCGTGAAACACAAGTATGTTGAAGAATTAATCATGTTAAACACTAAATTTTGCGGTCGTTTTCCTCCAAAAGTGTACATCATGTAAAAGACTTTTGTAAATTGAGGTTTTCATGTCCCCTGATGAATGTGTTATTATTGAATATTTGATTTAAATTGTGTGATAGTTATTTTTCGACTTTCATAGATTTTCGATGCAAAACGCCCAATTAATAAACAATAGGTTTCTCATAATTTGTGATATTTGGCGGATATCATGGTAGTACGAAACATGTATAGTAGTGATGGGTAGTGGCTAGCAGTGGAATACAGGATGCGCATCTCGTCCTATTTGGGACTGGTCAGATGCATGTACCTGTCTCCCAGTGAGTGATGTTATTCCCACCGGGATTTGGACTTAGGAGCGATCGCTTCAATTGCCAGGGCATTATCCACTACACCACTGAGGCACGATAGCCACTTCATGTGCGACCGGCATGGATTTAGTAACATTGCTTTTATAACATGTCATCGTTGATTGAACCCAGTTGATCGGTCTCTTTCGGCATATGGGCTTCCGTACTCGGTAGTGTAGTGGATAACGCTCTGGCGTTTCAAGCGATAGCTCCCGAGTCCCATACCGGTGGGAACAACACTCACATGGATGAAAGTACGTCGAGGTGACTAGTCCCAAATAGGACGAAATGCGCATCCTGGATTCCACTGCTGGCTGCCATCCATCACTAATATTATTATTTGTCCCTTGGGTTCCTAGTGGAACATAGGGCTTCAGTAGCACGTCTCCAATGCGCTCTGTTCTCTGAAATCTTTTGAACCTGGCTCCACGACAGCCCACAAGCTCTCATTTCCTCCTCACATGATCTCCTCCTTGTCACCCCCAGCAGGGACGCCCAACTCGTCGTCTCCCATCTGGGTTCCACTCAACGGCCTGGTCTGATGCGTGATGTCACCAATCGGCCTTCTCAGTGTATGCCCAATACAATCCATCTCCACTTCCTTCCAGTGCATATTTGTTAAGCGATAGGCTCTTGGTTGGTTCGTTGCCAGCCAGCCAGCCAGAGTCCCTTGTTCCTTATTATTTCTGGCCATCTGAACTTCAGTAACGAGCCAGCGTAGGCAGTTGTGTTGTTGATGAATGTCTGTAGTTTGTTGGAAATGCCCTTCGTAATGCGCAAAGCCTCTGAACCATCACACAGAAGCACTGATTTGACTGGATTGGTGTTGAAAATCCGGATGTTGTTCTTTATGGTGAGCGGAGTGCAGAAGATCTCCACACTGGTTTCAGGCTAATGAACGCCTGTCTTGCTGTCTTTCCGATTCTGACTTTGACATCCTCGTCTGTGCCGTTGCCTGTAGTTGAGATAGTGGTGCCTAGATAGGTGAAGGAGGCTACTTCCTTTAAATTCCTCCCGTTGACGGTTCTTGTTGTTGTTGGTTGGGTATCTTCATCACCTCTGTCTTCTCTACGTTCACTTGAAGTCCCGTCTTCCTTCGCTGCCCTGCCTCGCCTCTTCTGTCTACTTGCTGGTCTTCGCCTGTAGATCTTCAAGTTTGTGTTACACCAGACATAAGTTATCGGTGAAATCCAAATCTTCTAGGTTCTTTTCCGCAGTCCAGCGTATCTCCCTGTTCTCGCTCCTCACAGTTTGTTGCATGATCCAGTCCACTACAATCAGAAATATCATGGGTGAAAGATAGTGGACAGCCTTGTTCTACTCCTGTCTCCACTTTGAAGGCATCAATGAACTTCGCATTGTGAATTACTTGGCTGACATGTGGCATGCGTCTTCATATAGTTATTGGATGAGATTGATAAAGGTTTGCGGTATTGTATTGCGTAGTCTTGAGGCAGTTGCCTGTCAAATTACTTGTCGGTCGACGCTGTGGAAGGCGTTTTCAAAATCGATGAAGTTCAGGTAGAGAGTTGACTGCCATTCTATACTCTATTCTATGATGATGCGTAGTGTGGCGTTGCAATTTGGTCCGGACATGATTTGTACTTTCTGAATCCAGCCAGCCTGTTCTGGTCGTAGTTTTGAATCCAGAGCATCCTTTAGTCTCTCGAGGATGATGCAGCCTAATATTTTGCCTGGTGTGGATAGCGATGAGGCATGATTTCTCACCAGTTCTTGCAAACACTGAGGTCTCCCTTCTTCGGGAGTTTGATAAGGTAGCCTTTCTTCCAATCGCCAGGTAACTTCCCTACCTTCCAGACCTTGTGCAATAGTGGTGTGAGCATGTCAGCTACTGTCTCTGCGTCTGTTTTCAGTGTTTCTGGCGGGATTCCATCTGGTCCTGCTGCTTTCCCGGCTTTCAGCAACTTTATGTCGTTCACGACTTCGACTTTTGTTGGAGGATTTGTGTTCAGTGTTAGTTCTGTGGCTGCAGGTGATATTTCTGGACGAGTTGCAGGTGGCGGTGGTGGCGGTGGTGGTCGATTCAAGAGCTTTTTGAAGTGGTCAGTCCATCGTTTCCTTTGTTTCCCCTCTTTGGTAATTAAATTTCCTTCATCATCTTTTATTGGTTCCATGGGTGTTGATCTCTTCACTGCCAGACAGTAACCTGGTTATTGGATACAATTTTGTCAGGTCTCTGTCTCTCCTACCTGCAGCCTGTTCTGCTCCACTTGCCAGTGGGTCGTAGAAGTGTCTTTTGTCTTTCCGTGCACTCTTCTTCACTTCTTTGTCCAGTGTAGTGTTTTATACATTGTACTCAGTTCCGCTTGTCGTTGTGTATCCTTGCACTGGTTTATCTTCTACTTCACCATCCTTCTCTTTCTGCTGAATCACCTTCTATGTGTCCGTCGAGATCCATTCTTTATCTTTTTCTTTCTTCTTCCTCCCTAATACGGTTATGCGATTACTCTTATTGGAGCACAGGTTATATCGAGGCATCTTCGTAGGAGTTCATATACCGATGGAGACCAATCAATTCGGTCTGACAAACTACGGTATGATATAAACAACTTCACTTTTGATAACAGTTGAAGTATGAATGACATCAAAATGGGTATGTAATGTATAGAATGGTTCGTAGAATGTATATAACTCAGAAAGGTTCGTGAAATTGATGAAAATTGCCGATCAATGAAGTATTACGTAAGAGGACTGGAAATACAAGCTATATATATATATATATATATATATATATATATATATATATATATATATATATATATATATATATATATATATATATATATATATGGTGTATTTAAGACGATTGAGCGAAATAACGCCGAAAACTATTGAAGCATGGGTAATTTCGGAGTAAATCACGTGGAATACAGTGAAATGAAATTGTGTCGTGTCTTTTCTTCATATACTATTCGAAACTGTCTCTGCGAGTCATTAGTGTTTGCCATATTCGTGGGATGTCCAACCCATCTTTTCTGTTGACCGAACGAGGGTACGAATAGATGTGCAAAGCTTCTGCAATAGCCCTCTCTTTGTGAGGAAGAAAGCCCTCTTGAAAGACTTTTGTCTTTTCAAATGATATTTTGTGACCTGAATATAAGGCATTAGCCTCGATGGCAGCGGTTGTTTGAAGTTTCTCCAGATCATAGAAATTTTTTGGTAGTTTCTTGCAAATTCGACTGCGTTCGGTCACATGTATCAGTACTTGACATGATACCTCTCCAATGTGTGTTGCATCGCATTCATTACAGTCTACCTTATAAACACAGAGATTGCATTGATAGAAGTTACATCCAGCTCCCTTACCTATGAACGCTCAAATTTTATTGTAGAAACCGAGCATATGTTCACAGATTCATACATTGTAGTTTGTTTACAAATGGTTAGTTTTATCAAGTTTAATATACGTTCTATGACATCAGACTATAACTTTCGGTACTTGGAGAATGTATGTTCGGTTTTAATAATAATAATCTTGAGTGCATTCATGCAGTAGGCAATAACCACACTTGTTGTGTGAGGGATAATGATACCACCTGACTGCCTAAACCTTGGTAGGTTGAGTGCGGTTCGAACCCGTGACCTATTGGTTGAAAGTCATCTTGAACAAATAAGTTACAATCCTACCATGGTTATCATGTTACCAGTTTGACTCCAACCTAATCACGTTAATCACATGACAAAGTCTCACATCTGGCAATAGATTTTATTGGTTTACCTTTTCTGAATCTGAGTACTTGATTTCCTTAGACCTTCTCTCAATGATGAATTTCTGCAGACAGCATAATTTTATTCAGTAAATCATATAGACCAAATAAAATGTTGTATTTTCATAACCTTCCGTTGATCACTTCTTATATGTATGTTGATTTCCCTTATTTTCTGAATATAAGTTTAATCTTCATATTCTCTAGGAGAAGTGTGATTGCTCATTCCAAAGTTGTGTATGGACAGTAAAATGCATCCAAAATTTTATCCACTCTGTGATATATCTACTAAACCAACTGAAATGGAATTAAAATCTACCACAGTATCCATGTTTTACCAGTATATTGAAGTATTATTGCTGTTTTAACGTTAATGCATATATTTCTTTTGGCGATTTCTTGGTTAAAATACATCTGTTTTATAATCCTCTCATGTTATTAGGCTCTGGTAAGTATGACTGCAGACAGTGGATCCGATGGTGAGCCCACTGAAATGGAATCAAAAGCTCTGTCAAAATCGTTGAATAGTGTAGATTCTGCTGATGTAGCCACTCGGGTTGCAATGGTGAGTAATTTCTGATTTTTCGGTATCTTTTTAACAATATTCACAATCATCCTTTCAAAAGATTACATTGTTATGAACATCTGTAAAATCGGACCTATCAATTTATCTGTTGTAATGGCATACACCACTTTGGTTACTTACTTCATCTTCAAATTATAATTGGTGAAAGCTAGTATAGGGGTGAATTCTCAAGTCCTACTACAGGACACGTCATTCTTCTCTCCAATGAAAATGCTAATAAATATTCATTTTTTCTAGAATGAAGACACGAAGCAATTTTTAGTACTCGATAATCTCTGTTGCCTTGGTTTTCGTTTTATTGTTTGTTTGGAGCTGGTTAACAGTGGAGTTTCGAGCATACGTTTTGTCCTATTTGGTGCTCACTAACTTACTGTAGTCGCATTGCAATGAGTGATGGCGTTTCAACTGATACTCTAAATTAAAATAGATGGCTTCAACTGACAGATTTACTCTCGTTATTTGTATATACTGTGAAATTAATATTCATGCAAAAAATCAGCGATGGATAGTTTCCGCTTTTCAAAAGATTTTTACCTGTCAGTCACTTGAACCAAAAATGAGCTTTTAGTTAAGAGCTAGGTTGCTTTAGCTAATGATTAAACAAAGATTATTACAGTCTTACATACGCGTAATCACGGTGTTTATGAAATAAAGGAAGGCAGATTACAACACACTATAAACGCCAACAGCCTCGACATAAAGGTTTGAAATGAGGTGGACATACTGTATAACGGAGATGAAATAGCTGTACAAACTTTGTAAAATATTAACCAACGAGTAAAGTTAAGTGGTGGAAATTGGGCAAGCGCAATATGGAAGTCCGGATACTTGAACTCTCCAATAAAATTTGGAACTGGAGAGTCCACTCATTTTGAAACACATTTGAAAGTATTTAGAAAAGAATAATTCTGAAGTTATTTTTTGTGATAATTAACACCTACCACCGATTTCGTGTATCATATTTATAAACCCGCAAATTCAATCAGAAATATCATTCACTAGTTGTTCACTTTTACAATGTTGAGCAATACTGAGCACTGTATGCTTCATTCACTGTATTCATTGAAATAAAGCCTATAAGGTCAAATGCATTGAAAAACAAACTTATTACTAGTCCCACTTAGTAATCGAACTAGAGCAAACTGCATTCAACATTTCTTATTGAATTGAATAATGCTGAGCTTTTTTATCTGAAATTGTATTCGGCACATTGTTATCCAAAGTTTTGACTATGAAGTTCATTTGTGAAGCTGTTTCATCGTCTATTTTTGAAAAGATCCTTGTAAACTGCCGTCGAAGAACATGAGGATTTCATTGATTGGATTTCTCTATTATTTGTAAATATTACTTCTTGCTGACATTGGTGTATTTTCCCACTTGTAATATGTAAAGTGTCTCTATTGATAAACGCCTTCCTAAAAATACAAAAGGAATCCTTTAAAAGAAGTGTGAGGCAAAACAGGATTATCAGTTTGAAACGGTTCACAATTTACACTGTCTAAGTTAACATTTCTCACATCTGAGCAGCTTTTCAACTGCAGTGGCAGCAGGGTTTTCGTTGGAAACTACCCAACTGTGATCACATGGTCTGATTTCTGACATGAATGCCATGAACTAGCGAAAGATGCTACTACTGAACAACTTGACTAGTTAGAAACCACTCAGACGAATCTTTCTGGTGTTTAAATCACTTCGACCTGGCTGGCGAAACCTACAGATCAGTCAGGTTCAGGTGATTTCAACTAATTTCGCCCTATGAGATGAATTTGTATGGGTACACCGCTGATGAGATCTGCCACCAAACGACTGAAACGGCCTTCCTGTGTTTCAGTCACTCTGACCTGACAGGCGAGATCTACAGATCAGTTTGAGTAGTTTCTAGCTTTTCAAATTGTTCAGTAGTAGTATATTTTGCAAGTGTGAGTCAAGCATAGACAAATAGACAGACATAGATGGTTAGGGCCAGTGTCACCTGCCCTTGAAAGATATCAGTAGTTGAGCTCTATTTGTTTGGATTTCAGTGTTTATTTATGCAACAGTTGAGTGGTGTATGCATTACATAATCTCTCTTTAGTACACCTGTCATGTACATAACTGTAACTTGTCAACTGTTACATAGCTATCAGGTTTCAATTACTTTTAAATATTTTCCCTCTTTTTTGTTTGTTTGTTTGGATTCCTCACACCTAAAGGTGCGATTTTTTAATTCCTTGAATGTTCTGGGAAACATTGCTGAACATACAAGAACCGTACGTTTGTTTCCAAGACCAGTTGTTGCATTTCAAAGATTTTCTTTCCTAAAATCGCGTCAAATACTTACACCATTCACGAGGAAACTGGCTGAGACACAAGTAAGTTATCTTATTGTTGCTGCCTTATATATATATATATATATATATATATATATATATATATATATATATATAAACTGAAATGAGTGTTACTCAGCCTTCCACTTCCTGAACTTTTTCCCACTCATTATCTACCTATTGTGTGCTTCACAAAGGTATTTGTAGCATCTTTACAGACGTTTGAAACTTCTGCTTAAAAATGTTTCGGTTAACCTAGATCTCATCCAATCTGTATAGGGTGGTTTTACAGCAGTTGTTGTAATAACCACTTGTTACCCTCAAAAATGAGTGACTAACGTGATAACTCACTCTTTGGTTATTGTAATGAATTCCAACGCAGCAAAGGTAGTCTACTGATCAACTGTTTGGTGGTAGTCAATATTTTTACATAGGTTTCATTGTCTTTGACACCTGTCAGTAAAGTTTGTCCACAATCCTAAATCTTGTGCTGTCTAAGAGAACGGAATCTGTGCCCCTTGTATATTCAGTTATATACATTAGCACTGAGTTATTCTGACCTCTACTGACCGTGATCAAGAATAAATGTACACTAGTGAGTTATTTAGAGCAACTGCTTTCATATTTCCTAGTCCTCGTTGCTAATCGAAATGTATATTGATACTAAGCTGTGTTTGACTCAATATAGCTTTGGGCATTATTTGATATTGTGTGTGGCGATTAGTATGTTTAATAACACTTTGATTCCATGCATAGCAGCATAAAAATTGTTCTCACCATTGCCTTCAATTTTTCGATTCCGAACATAATGTGCCATGATGTTGAATGAATTAGTTTAGTGGTTATATTGGAAAGCTGATTGAGTGTAATATTCGTTTCTTTATACCCGTAATAAGTTTTAAATATATAGGGTTGTTCGGAGACGTTTACAGTCTAAATTCACCGCATTTAAAGCAATTTTGTGCTCACATGTATGCAGGGTATTATTTTTGATTGCTCAACTTTCCAATCATGCGTATACTAACTGTTACACATAAATTACCTCTTAGCTTACACAATACATAGGTACTAATTATTTTGGTTGGCCTGGTTAACTAGTTCACTAGTTACCAGCCACTCCTAAGCCCGGGTAAACAGGGAAGTTTGGGCATAAGGCTAGCAACCCTACCACGTAAAACAAATCCAACCGCTACAGAAACTTCAAAGCACAGACAAAATATAGAAAATAAAAACAAAATTATTCCTCCCTGGAATCGGAGAGGCGAAATGACCCCGGTTGGTGAAAGTCTTCGGGAAGCCAATTGGCCGATGTGTCTTCTCTTCTCTCCATGAAAGCGAAAGTAAACGTGGGGACATGGAATGTCCACACCATGTTTGAACCTACCAAGGCTGCCCAGATTGCAAACAAGATGAGAAGGCATCACATTGAAGTGCTGGGAATTTGCGAAAGTAGATGGAATGGGAGTGGACTCTCCCAACTGTCAATTGGAGAGGAGAGTCAATAATCTACTCCAATGTTGTCACCCAGACGACAACCACGAACCAGCACACTGAGTTATGGAGTGGCTACGATGATGTCCCCAACAGCATCAAAGGCTCTCATACCGTGGGAACCAATCTCCTCCAGCATCAGGATCATGACAGCAAGGTTCAACTCAGAAGGAAGGAAAGTCACAACCGTACAATGCCACGAACCCACAAATAATGCAGATCAAGAGAAGAAGCAAGAATTCTACAGACAACTGCAATCAACACTGGACAAAACACTACTCAAGTTGGCGATATCAAAATTCTAATGGGTGAGGTGACACGAATGTCAAACTGGGAGTGGACAACACAGGAAGAGAACTAACCATGGGTCAAGAAGTGCTAGGTGAGGTGATGAACGAGGATGAAGAATTGTTTGCAGAATTCTGTGCATTCAACGATTTGGTGATTGGAGGCTAGGCACTGTGTTCACGCACAAGGATATCCACAAAGCGAGCGACATGGATTTGATTTCATTAGACACCAGATGGACATACTACACTAAGAATCAGATCGACTTCATCTCAATGTGAAGAAAGTGGAGTAATCGCATAACCGTATTAGGGAGGAAGAAGAAAGAAAAAGATAAAGAATGGATCTCGACGGACACATAGAAGGTGATTCAGCAGAAAGAGAAGGATGGTGAAGTAGAAGATAAACCAGTGCAAGGATACACAACGACAAGCGGAACTGAGTACAATGTATAAAACACTACACTGGACAAAGAAGTGAAGAAGAGTGCACGGAAAGACAAAAGACACTTCTACGACCCACTGGCAAGTGGAGCAGAACAGGCTGCAGGTAGGAGAGACAGAGACCTGACAAAATTGTATCCAATAACCAGGTTACTGTCTGGCAGTGAAGAGATCAACACCCATGGAACCAATAAAAGATGATGAAGGAAATTTAATTACCAAAGAGGGGAAACAAAGGAAACGATGGACTGACCACTTCAAAAAGCTCTTGAATCGACCACCACCGCCACCACCGCCACCTGCAACTCGTCCAGAAATATCACCTGCAGCCACAGAACTAACACTGAACACAAATCCTCCAACAAAAGTCGAAGTCGTGAACGACATAAAGTTGCTGAAAGCCGGGAAAGCAGCAGGACCAGATGGAATCCCGCCAGAAACACTGAAAACAGACGCAGAGACAGTAGCTGACATGCTCACACCACTATTGCACAAGGTCTGGAAGGTAGGGAAGTTACCTGGCGATTGGAAGAAAGGCTACCTTATCAAACTCCCGAAGAAGGGAGACCTCAGTGTTTGCAAGAACTGGTGAGAAATCATGCCTCATCGCTATCCACACCAGGCAAAATATTAGGCTGCATCATCCTCGAGAGACTAAAGGATGCTCTGGATTCAAAACTACGACCAGAACAGGCTGGCTGGATTCAGAAAGTACAAATCATGTCCGGACCAAATTGCAACGCCACACTACGCATCATCATAGAATAGAGTATAGAATGGCAGTCAACTCTCTACCTGAACTTCATCGATTTTGAAAACGCCTTCCACAGCGTCGACCGACAAGTAATTTGACAGGCAACTGCCTCAAGACTACGCAATACAATACCGCAAACCTTTATCAATCTCATCCAATAACTATATGAAGACGCATGCCACATGTCAGCCAAGTAATTCACAATGCGAAGTTCATTGATGCCTTCAAAGTGGAGACAGGAGTAGAACAAGGCTGTCCACTATCTTTCACCCATGATATTTCTGATTGTAGTGGACTGGATCATGCAACAAACTGTGAGGAGCGAGAACAGGGAGATACGCTGGACTGCGGAAAAGAACCTAGAAGATTTGGATTTCACCGATAACTTATGTCTGGTGTAACACAAACTTGAAGATCTACAGGCGAAGACCAGCAAGTAGACAGAAGAGGCGAGGCAGGGCAGCGAAGGAAGACGGGACTTCAAGTGAACGTAGAGAAGACAGAGGTGATGAAGATACCCAACCAACAACAACAAGAACCGTCAACGGGAGGAATTTAAAGGAAGTAGCCTCCTTCACCTATCTAGGCACCACTATCTCAACTACAGGCAACGGCACAGACGAGGATGTCAAAGTCAGAATCGGAAAGACAGCAAGACAGGCGTTCATTAGCCTGAAACCAGTGTGGAGATCTTCTGCACTCCGCTCACCATAAAGAACAACATCCGGATTTTCAACACCAATCCAGTCAAATCAGTGCTTCTGTGTGATGGTTCAGAGGCTTTGCGCATTACGAAGGGCATTTCCAACAAACTACAGACATTCATCAACAACACAACTGCCTACGCTGGCTCGTTACTGAAGTTCAGATGGCCAGAAATAATAAGGAACAAGGGACTCTGGCTGGCTGGCTGGCAACGAACCAACGAAGAACCCATCGCTGAGCAAATATGCACTGGAAGGAAGTGGAGATGGATTGTATTGGGCATACACTGAGAAGGCCGATTGGTGACATCACGCATCAGACCAGGCCGTTGAGTGGAACCCAGATGGGAGACGACGAGTTGGGCGTCCCTGCTGGGGGTGACAAGGAGGAGATCATGTGAGGAGGAAATGAGAGCTTGTGGGCTGTCGTGGAGCCAGGTTCAAAAGATTTCAGAGAACAGAGCGCATTGGAGACGTGTTACTGAAGCCCTATGTTCCACTAGGAACCCAAGGGAGAAATAATAATAATGACACTTGACGTTTTTATATGGTCAATACGAAGGGGGGTATTACTCTTCTCGATACATATTTGTTTACAAGGTGAAAACACCAATTCATCTACGTTTTCACTAAGCTAGATATATGACCCAATCACAGTTTCTACTATTGAGAACTTATTTGTAATATTTTTTTTGATTTAAGGCGGTTGAATTTTTTGCTGAATGGTGTCTTTATCCAGAAAATGAAGTATTTCAAAGAATTCATGCCGGAATACATGATCCTGAGCAGATCGGTGATAAAGTTATTTGGTATGAAAACACTCTAGCGCAAATTAACTTTGAGATCTGGTCCACTGAAGAAACAAATCGTTATACTGCGTTAAACTTTATTCACTCGGTCAGTATTGATAATGGTGAGTTGTTTTAAGTGCATGCTGTTTAGAATTTTCCACTTTTTTTTAGAAGTTACTGATATTCTACAGTCTGTTTGGCTTACGGGTTAACTGTCTATCCCAAGTTTGTATCTCACTTAACGTAATCAGTTTAACGAAAAACAATTTATTGTCGCCAGATCAGATGTAGAAGCATTCATCTCACTTTCTGACTTTGAGCCTGTGTTGTGCAAGTAAATGTTTGCTTCCTCATGAAAATTGATGAAATAACCAAAATTCATGGTTCAAGAATTGATATTACGAAAAGCCAATTGTTGTATGAGAAAAGTTCATGTATATCCAGTTCTTATTTGAATTTTAAACATCTTGTCAGTGTCAGATTTTACTTCCTTTTCTCTTCGTTTATTTTTTTTACTACTACTTTTGTAATCTCATCCTTTTTTCCATTCATAAACTTGAACGGAGCAAGAACTACAAGTGTAGCGGGATAATAGTAAATTCGTATTTTCCGGCTAGACTTATTGTCGACAATGGTATAATTATTTGAATTTGTTTCCCTTCATTGTTGTTGATCTTCACTGGTTGTGTTAACATGAACTACGATGATCTAAACCGGCAGATAGTTATAGAAGGTCTTTCATTTGTTTCTGTAAGTCAGATACTTAGCTGTAATTTGTGAACGTCTTTTGCGTTATTGTTTGACACTTGTGATTTCCTGTTCCTATACAAGGCTGAATCACTCGACCACTGTTGGCAGATGGATCCTTATGCGGATACTTCGATACCACCTGATATTCATGATGTTTTATCTTCATCATGAACATCGTTATGAAAATCTGACACTATGAGTGATCCACATAGGAGCTCATCTGTCAAAAGAGGTCGCGCAATTTGATCCTACATAGCAACGGGAAATTACAATTATCAAACAGCAACAAATGATACCCATTGCACAAGTGGTGGCTCTTGTGTCCTAGTGAATTAGTGAATAACTCTTTGGCATTTCAAGCGACAGGTACTGGGTTCGAATCTCAGTGGGAATAACATCACTCACTGGGATGCAGATGCATTCAGCCGACGAGTCCCAAATAAAACTAAACACACATCCTTTGTTCCACTGTGAATCACCAAAATGAATACGGCGTTTGTGTTACTTACCATCTTTGCATCCTTAAGATTATTTGGAGAACATGATAAATGACCTAAAAGACCTGATATTTCATACAAAAGGTCACAAAAGTATTCAGCTAAAATATTCTGCAACCAGTCCCTCATACTTTCCAGACTATTTCATTATGAGTTTTATGCCAGATGGCAGTTCCACTATGAATTTAGATCTGAATCCGATCTAAAAATATCGCATATGATTTACTCCGAATACGTTAAATAGATGATTTAATGCAGTTTCCAGTGGATAATGATAATGGTATGGGTAGAGAACTGTGAGCTTTTAAAACATACATCCTGGTTTTGTTCATAACTTCCTTCACGTTTTAGAGTTTACCTATTTGGTGATGTTTTACCAACTTTATCAATTAAATGTTCTGGTAAACTTAGATCTTGCTTTTTGTGAATTTTTTCTTCTTTTCCTGAATAATGTAGGTCATATAAATAACTTCGAAATGATACACCACCATTTTCCAAAATCAACAAACACGACTTATGATTTGAACGCTTTGTATAATCCACCGGAAACTTTGGAAGATTTATTAAGAAATGCAGTTCAATTACAACAGCCTATGCGTAAAAATCAACCAAAAAGACGTCCTAATCAACAATCAGAACAAGTTGATTCATTTGATTCATCCAGTGCTAAGATGCAGATGATGAGATCTACTAAAAGTGATGATGTTAATCAAGCTATACTTTATGAGAAAAAAAATTTACCTGGTCCAATGTATACTATACCATCAATGGCTGAGTCTAGCAGTGATTCATCTGATGACCAAGTTAGTTTTCATTTCTGCATAGTTTACTATAATGACGTAAGCGGATAAAGTGTACAACATTCATTTTCATTCGAATTATTAACATAAATGAACCCGTTTTGTTTCAATAAAGTATGGTCTGTTTGACTTCTGGGATACCTTAGCCGTCAACTTATGGTCTGAATTTTTTACTTAGTGACAGTCATCATCAAAATGCATTCACAGCTTTCAAAACGCTTTTAAGGCTGAGCTCATGGTCGTTCATTGTCGTAAGTAAAAAGAACTCACCACTAACTTATTCGGCAATGAATTATTCTTTTGTTTGGTGTTGTTCTCTAAGCTGGATTGTGAATAAAAATAAAATTATGAAAATATAGTACATCTTTTGTTTGGTGTTGTTCTCTAAGCTGGATTGTGAATAAAATAAAATTATGAAAATATAGTACATCTTATGTGCCAAAGTTATAAACCACATCGTGTTATCTGTTTGGTATCATCAATACTGTCACATATACCAGTATGTAAATTATGGAATATTTATTACTGATAGAAATAAATAGTCCTGAAACAATTACAATAAGCAATCGTGCTTAGCAGCTTGATCAGTATGATATAAACACGGAGCGGCTATTTCACTACTTTTTTGTTCAAGTGTATACACAATGTAACCAGAGTTTAACTAATCAAGATGGCTAATTTGTTCATCCTACTACACAAAAAGAACCTAGACAGACTAATAATTTATGGGATAGAAATAAGTATTTGTAAGACTCCTAGTTCAATATGAAAGTGACACAACTGGGAGAAGTGTTCCAAAGTGAATAATTCACGAGATCATGGGGAATATTTGTAGCTCAAAACCATGACTTTTATAGTGTTGCGTAGTCTGAACTAGATGGTTTAAACATGATGCTTTCATTGTCATTCTAGATAACATAATTAGCGCAAACCTCAGAAATCATTGAGCTGGGAGAATTCCTGAACAAATGACTTAATAGCTTGTCCTGATGACCTAGAGCACGACTAGGTTTTTTTGTTATAATCTTGGTGCCTTCTGCACACATATTTCGAATAGTTAATCTGTGGATCTAAACTTTGACCTGCTTACTGTTTCTTGTGTTGATAATTGGTTGATAGATAGGGTAAATATCAATATGCCTATTGATTTCTGACTGGTCTAAGTAACAAACTTTTAAAAATTCTCTTGCACTCTCCATATTCCCTCCGACATATTAATGTAAGATATTAAGTTGCCTTATCGTTTTCATTGCCATTCGTGTGGCTTCAAATCTTGTCGTGCTCTTGCAGGTTGAGTGTGTCCACAGGTTGACTTTTTGTTGATGAACTCAGGTATGCTAAATTACTGTTTTATTCTCATTATTATTTATTATATTATTATTTGCCCTTTGGGTTCCTAATGGAATATAGGGCTTCAGTAGCACGTCTCCAATGCGCTCTGTTCTCTGAAATCTTTTGAACCTGGCTCCACGACAGCCCACAAGCTCTCATTTCCTCCTCACATGATCTCCTCCTTGTCACCCCCAGCAGGGACGCCCAACTCGTCGTCTCCCATCTGGGTTCCACTCAACGGCCTGGTCTGATGCGTGATGTCACCAATCGGCCTTCTCAGTGTATGCCCAATACAATCCATCTCCACTTCCTTCCAGTGCATATTTGCTCAGCGATAGGCTCTTGGTTGGTTCGTTGTCAGCCAGCCAGCCAGAGTCCCTTGTTCCTTATTATTTCTGGCCATCTGATCTTCAGTAACGAGCCAGCGTTGTTGATGAATGTCTGTAATTTGTTGGAAATTCCTTTCGTAACCCGCCAAGATTTTATTCTCATAGTGAATGTTATTCTAGTTGTAAGCAGCTGACGAAAAGATAACGAAATAGAATGATAGTATGCCATTCTGATTAGTTTGTTTTTTTGCTCTTCTCTTGTTCATAAAGGAGGAACATGTGTATGAAAAGGTAGATTCCCTGTATTTCTAATTAAGTCATGACCTTTAGGGTCATCTTGATTGTTTGTTGGAACTGATGCCCATCCTTTACATTGAAGGGCGCTTGAATTATATCGTGAATTGACAGGATTTAAAACTACTGGTCAAATGTATTCAAGTCTAGTGATTAAATGGTGATATGCACCCTGTGTCTTCCGTTTCGAAACTGTATACGAGAAAACGCTAAAAGTCGAAGAAAAAATTTGTTTCCCACTGTTTGATTTTTGATGGCCCTCTGGTTCGTGCCAGTCTATGATGTTAATTTCCTTGGAATTTTTATTTCATTTCATTTTTACCTTGGATTTTGATTCACTTAAACTCTTGTTTATTCATTGATTAATTTTCGATGAAATACGTTTCAAAACTAAAATATTAAGTTTCGTTTATTCTAGGATGATTCAGATATTTGGGATTTGAAGAATTCTGTCGATCAATTGGATATGAAAAAGGATGTAAGCGAATGTCACTTTTTCCCGTTATTACTTAACAGAATGTCACACACTCTAAGCAGAACATTCTGCTATTATTTATTAAAAAGCTTAGAAATTAAACTTTTAAAATTTTCTCCATAATTCTTTTTGTTGTTTGTAAATGTTGAAGACATCCGTTATGCATAGGTGTACTGCGTTTAGCTCTTTGAGATCATTCACCCAGTGATATCTTAGATACAACAAGGTTTCATATACACTTAACTGAATCAACTGTAAAGAAAGTATCAGCAAAACTGGGTCATAAATCTGTTAGAGTGTAGACTATTGGTTTGCACCAGGAAATATATCTGCTACAAAATTTATTATGGGAATGAACAAAAAGTTTCTTTCTAATGCTTTGTGGTGAAGTGGAGTTTACAGAAGAAATTAGAATTCACACACCTTATCTTGAATAAAGATTGAACGATTTCGTTCCTATTAAAACTGCGATTCAACAACCCATCAAATATCACATAAAATTCCTAGTTTTTAACATTCATTTGTTGATTACAGTTTTACGATTATGTTAATGTTAACCTGCAGCCTTTATTCTAAACATCATATCCACATGATATATTTATGAATAGTAAATTGTGTTTGAAGCATCTTTAGTCAGTAAATAGTATTGTTCCTCTGTATCATACACTGATTGGTCACTGCAGAGCAACTGATTTCATGTTATCTTGTCTTGTGTACTGACCCGAATTCTATGAATCATTTTGCTATGTGGCCACCGAACTAGGAGGTTCACTATCGCAGTGCACTTTACTGGATATCATTTCATTGGACGCAATCAATAGGAAGCCCTGTACCTAGGTTTCCTGCTTGTTGGGACTCTCCAGCAAGGTGTGTCTGGAACCTCGAGGAAACTGATTTCCTATGTGACATTCGAACTTGTGTCACGCAATGATGCAGTCACTGACTTTACCATTGAGCTATTCGGGCCATGATTGATTTCCTATAAGATTGGTTTAGGTACATCGGTCGGTGACTGGAGAGCAACCAATTTCTTGATATCTGGTCATTTACCTCAATCCTATCGAATAGACAAATCTAACAGTAGCAAAATCATGTCTTTATCATCTGTTTTATGTCTCTTGGTAACATTATTATCCATGAATTTCTTAAGAGTTGAAACGGTCTGTTATATACGAAATCAGTTACATCCGAAATATCATGTATAAGTGAAAAGATCCTGCAGTATATTGGGTACTTGTTGAACACAAAAAACCCATTCACTTAACACTTATCGATTGCCACTCTTGTAACTAAAACGAGCTAAAGAGAATGGAAAAGTGTACCCTTTATTTATTCGTTTACAGTGAAAACTGTTTATTTGCTTAAGAATATCTCGCTTTATGGATGGTCTTTGCACCTACATTGATCACATCACTACATATGCTATAAATGATTTGGTTTGAAAACGAGGTAAATGTGTATTGATTCTGGCGTTAGATTGACTGTTAGTTTGCAAGTTTCATCCTTTTTGCATATAATTGCGAAAGTGTCTATCAACCATTTTGGGATTAGTTGCCACTTGGTGATCAATTCATGTACACAAACCAGTTACTTATAGGAAGAAGTTAGTCTAAACGGAAATAGCTAATTTTTAATGTCTCTGACTTGGTCACAAAGTGATGCCATTTTGAATCCCTGAATGATTAAAAATTTCCTCAGAGTAGCAGATGTGCCTTACTGATAAGTATCAACAAACTGGAAATTCAGGTGAAACAGGGTCTCCTGCCAATTAACTGCCAACATCTAATATCAACCCATTTTCTGAGAGGAATGATTTGGTTAGGAAACTATTGGTCATAGACTACTACTGTTCATAGTTATTGTGGTTAGAATAAGTACTACTCATTTGAACAAATTTCTATAGCACTTAGCTAAAATAATAGAGTATCTTTCTACAACTCTTGATATATTCATCATAGTTTGCTATGACTGGTAATGCCACCTAGCAGCGATACGAACTTGACGCTCAGAGAATCTACTCCAGTCGCTAATCAGAACGTCAGCCAACACCAATAACAACACTACCAGCATGAGAAGACGGACCGTTGACAAAAAGATTTTACGATCTCGACAACAGTACAAACAGTTGGGAGCGATGGTGAATATATACATTCTAAACGGGCTTGACAAACACTAAGTTCACTGATAAGTTGAAAGAGTTAACGACTAATGTTACTTAAGCCTCCAAAGCAAGTGGGTAAAACAAAAGCTAGCAGCGGCACCAAGATGGCAATTCTCTGCTTTATGACAATAGTTCTTGGGCACGGAAGTTGACGGGAGCTGAATTGGAGAGCATAAGGCTATTGCTAATATGGAATAATATGTTATAAGTACATTTCAAATGAAAATTTTAAGAATAATAGTAAGCTTTCATTCCAGTAAATTAAGAAAATATTCCGACTGTTGGTGTGATCACGGGCAGTTATCTTGTTCGAATTATTACCGAAACAAAAACTTATCATTATGTGCAAACTTTCGATCAATAACTTTGAGATTTAGATTTCTCTGGAAACCCCATTTACAGTTATAAGTTACACTCAATACATATTAATCTCGGCGACTACCAGGACGCGCGTTTCATCCATTCAGGACTCGTCAGCTGGATGTAGCAACACCCCAAGCCGAGTACCAAATATAAGAAAATGCCAGTTCTGGAGTCCCATGCTAGTCACCGAGATCAGCGTCACCTCATAAATCAGCAGCAGTATTAAGGCATCCGCATAGGAGCCCATCTACCAACAGAGGTCGAGCAATTCGACCCTGTATAACAACGGGAAATTACAATAATTATAACAACACTTGCACTCAATACATTTTGAAACACGCTTCCTGAAATATTACACAGCATTATCACTACAAATTTTAAATTCATTTTGGATTTAGTCTTAACCTGATGACGATTAATTTCTTTAAACAGAATTTATGCGACAGATGATGACGATTTTATAAGCCAATTTAAAACAGATAGCTTATCTAAGCTCAGCTAATCAGATTCCCACAAGTAAGTGTCATAGTCCAATAGGAAAGTAACTTGGCCACACAAACGAATTGACTTTTAAACAGAGGAATCAGTCAATCAATTTTCATTCCCAATTTCTTTCTTCCACCCTAAATGAATTAGGGGGAGAAGTGTGCCGGGTAATAAACGTCAACCCACAATGCACAACCTTTTAATGGATAAAATTATTCATCATAGCATTTTTAAAAATGAAATAATTAACCTAATTAAGTCGTTCTCATCAGTCTGAAGTAGTTTCGTCTGAATATTCCATACCAATGAATGTAAAATGATTGTTTTGACATTTATACCTCAAGATAGTCAGATAGACAGAATAATGAATAACCTGACGCAGTTTGAAACGTTATCGAAAAACTAAGGACATTACTAGACATAAAACAACTAGGGGCATAAAGCAGTAATCAAAGTCCTCAAGAATATCGGATGATACAGCGGAATAACGAGAGAGGCAAACGCAGAATATTGCTGTTCAAAGCTTTACTCGATCAAACCAATTGCTTCTAGTTTTTTCCCATAGGTTGCTATTTTGTTGATTAAAGCTATATTGAAATAAAGTTTTTATCAATTTCGTCTTGACTATCACCTTTCAGTGCTATCTTAAATTATTATCTCCTTTTTGTTTACCAACTTGGAATCGATAGATCCCCACACACTTCCTAATTGAATAATTCTCGTGCTCATTGGTGGCTCGCTCTGAGTAGTGATTCTCGAAGTTCCAGTGGGGAGTCGTGACTAATGGTGCCAACCAAGCTGGATATGAGGACGGATACTCAGTGACGGCACTTGATGGAGTTCGCGTTATATTGTGAGCTAACAGAAGTGGGGAATATGAACCACTGGATTCCGATCTAGTGGCTCAGTGGTGACGTGCTGGCCGCAGAACCTAAAGATCCTAGGTGCGCACTGCTGAGGAGTCCTATACTGAGACAAAACACCTGTCCGGTGCTCTCAGGTTTACAATATTTCTCCAGCTGACGTCAATTCCTGATGAATATCAGCCTGAAATCATTTTTATTTCCTTTTGACCATTCACAAACGAGTAGATTTGTTTGCACTGACTGAAGTGTAATTTGATCTTGCTGAATCTTCACCCATTTTTTTCCGTTTTCTAATAGACGAATAAAATGAATCCCATGGAGACAGTTGCACGGATTGATAATTTGACAAAGTAAGTCTTTCTTGGTTGTAAATGAATTATAATTTTCTAGGTTGTTTCAGTTATGTGACTGTCCTTTTCATTCTGAAATGAATTTCGCGACAACAAAGAAGCTTTTTTTTCTGTTTTGCGATGATCGTTATAGTCTCTTTCGAGGCTTGATATTTCCTTCTTGACTTCGTTCAGACGTGTTTCATTAAGTAAGGAAGTATGTTTCATCCTGTGGTTCGTTAGTTGTAATTTCGTATCGACCTTATAAGTTATAAGATGCTTTTAGTCGATGGTGAAAGTTCTTATCTCGTATTAATCATCTCTAACCTTAAACTTCATTAGGTCATGTTCGGAAAGAATTCTACTTTCTACTTTGTGATCCCAACCGTTATTACTTACTTTATCACCGTCTAATTTGTAAAAGAATTCTTATTTTCCTCGCAAAGTAGACTATTAAGTGCATTTTTAGTTACGTATGATAGATTACGTTCTATGTGAACGCTGAGCTTCTTAAGACTTTACATTATTTAGGTAGGAAGCCTTTGAGCACTTCTTTATTCTATACGTTATTTCTGTCAAGTGGATTTCAGTCAAAATGTTTTTCAATAGTCATGTTAACTCACAATATTACAGATTTTTTTCAAAACCCGTTTAAGGGTTAAGTTAGTCTGTTCAGTAGTTTGCTAGAAATCGATTTGTATGAATATGTTTATCCTCGTGGATTGAAATCATGTTGAGAACTATTTTCAAGCAAATGAGGTTGTGCAGTTGCCCCATCTCGGTTTAAAAGTCATTTGCAGTGCAGAATTACTGCTTCAAACGCCTTTGGATACGTGGCATTTGTGATTACTAACTGGCTTTAGTCATTAGTGAGGACGATCTTCAAATGCATATCATATCTAACATAAGGGTTAATGATAAAAAACTAATGTATCACCTCTCAGGATGTTTGCTCACCGTTTATCCTTTGACCCAACGTTTTTACACTTTATAAACGATTTTATTTATGTATCTGAATAAATTTGCCAATTTAAGATACGGCAAAAGATACCTACTCACAAATAGCATGAAAAGTCTGGTTATGCTACGTTCGCGATTCTCAAAATGTTAACTTTTCCCCCTTCTTTTAAAGAGGTTGTTGTGTGAAATGTAACTGCCTGCATGATTGTTTTAAATATTTTCATCATGCACAAACCTATAATGCTTCTGATTCATACTTGACCTATATGATTGCAGACTTTGAATGCCTACATTCATCTTTTTTATAAAATGTTTTTGATTTCACTACTTAAAACGGTTTTTAGTAGTATATCAGTCTAACCTATTTGTATGAGTTTACTGACTATTGCATAACTTACATCTAAACCGTTTTAAAAAGCATTTGAAGTACAACTCCAACTAGCTCTTTTTTGAGTATATCAAGTCTCACTTTTAATCCACTTGTCTAACATACTCTTTGAATCAGGGTTTATTTATTTAAAGTGATGTTTTACCTTAGAAATTCGTGAATGGCTTTATGTCAGCACAAATAAGTATCTTCATAAACTTATACGTAATAAACGCAGGTTTTATCCCATCGTATTCTCGAATTTTCGAGTTTTTCTGGCCTAAGCTTGTTACATAAAAATACAAAATGATATTTTTAGACTAAGTTATTTCTATTCCTTTAAAGCCTTTGTAGATGTGAATTTTATGAGTCGTAGTCATTCCATACCTTTTGTTCTGCACATCAAATCATGACTGATGCATCAAAATATTATTCCTATCGCCGATACCGAACCTATTTATCAAGTTCTGAGAAAAGTGATTCAAATGTTCTGTTTAGATAGTTCGATAGTTCTTCACTTTTATAATCTATAAGTATCTTACGAAAAAGAGTTGAAGAAATCAAATCAGTTGCTTGGTTAGTCTCTTTTTTTCCTTAAACATTTGAGAAGATGGAAACTGCTCCAACTGGGTTTGTCTTATAGCTTCAATACGGGATGTTTAAGTTATCGCCATGATTCAAAACTTGTTTTTATTGGTACATCTGATTCACCTTATCTAACATTTAGTATCACTCTAGTCTTATGCATCCCTTCTTATCTTGGTTTATATTCTGCATACGATCAAATACTTGTTGAGTTAAATGAATGTAAAAGTAACTCATGATTAGACAAACTTATGCATTTTGACAATTAACTTGACGTATTTCTCTTATTCATTTGATAGAAAATATTTTCCAACTGGGGTATTTTATACTATTCACTTATTATTAATAATTTAATGATGTGTTTCGATCTTCACTGGCACGCCATCTTAAATCTTCAAATTTTTCGCTTTTAATCGTATGAATTTATTTCGATGTTTTTGTGAAGTTACATCAATTGCTTGAGAATTACTTGAGAAATCCATTTAATTAGTTGCTGTTTCAGATGATTAATCAAGCGTAGGCTCTCGGTTTAGGATATTTGCTCCAAAATTCGAAATTGTATGCCTGAATGATGAACTTTTTCAATATCCAGTGAAGAAATATTTTGATCTTCAAAGTGAATCGAAATCAGTGCGACGAACTATCGAATAAAGTAATTTCAAAAATATGAGCTACATGTTTATCATTGGCGACATTTTTACTCAATCAGTGATGACAAGATTTGAATTTTGATGTTAAAAAGAATGTGTACTCTGATTTATTTTTATTTCTCTTCTTATTGTTACCATATCAGTACTGTTGGACAGATACTCAGAATATCTGCTATATTTTTGCAATATATTTTGTTACAGTTTCTATTCTTCTACTAATAAGTAGTTGAATTATTGTCTCGAAATTCATCATACCTTATGCTGCTTCATTCATGATTAATTTTCTCAAGTTGAGTTTTTTTCATCCATCCATGTTTTTCTAATTTAGAAACTTAGTAATCTCAAGAAATCAGGTTTTTTTTTAGGTAAACGGTAGGCAACTCTGAAATCGAATAAACTAAACAAGTGAGGAGATAACCGTTTTATTTCGATAGGATTTGTAGTTTCTTTTCCAGCAGAGGAATGTGCATATATTTTCATGAATCTCCGAATGATTTAAGAAAGACCATTGATCTGGTTAGGCTTTCGCACCCTTAAAATATAAGAAAACGCTTGAGATTGGTGTGCACTAATTTTTAGTTTCAGGGTAGGCAGTAGGAGTGGTGAACTTCACTAATCAATTCACTTACGCGGGGTGTTGCATCATCCTGAAAGGATTGGTTGTTGATAAAATTTTGACTGAGACGCATAAAATCAATGTTTTGTTTCCCAAATTGTATTGTATTTTGCGCTAGCGAGTTATCATATTTCAAATCAACCGGTGAGTAAACTGCATAGCAGTCCACTCTATCCTACTATACAACCGTGAGATATGGCGGTTGAAGGTAGAAAATTCAAAAAGGTTACAAGTTTTTGACCTCTGATATCTTCGTAGCATTGCACTTGTGTAGTGGAATCACCTTGTGAGTAATTTCCAGGTTAGACGTAGAGACTAGGGATGGTATTTCTTTGACTTGCCTGTTGTCAAAGAGAGAGGTTGGGGGATTTGTAAGGAGTTTAATATTGGTATCAGGAGGTGAAGGTATCGAAGGAGACAGAAATAAGAAACACTGGCTGTATTTGACTGGATCCTGCATACTGCTAGAAGCGTGTGCGCAGTTACCACTTGTCGTTTTCTTACAACATAGAGGTTGTTTCTACAGAGTACCTGAACGAGAAAAAGATTTACATAACCGCATAGCCCTTGGGACATGTGCTTCTCACGTGTCACACAACCTCCTGCTGACTGTTGTTTTAGGATTTGGTTGTTCTATCTACGGACATACCGCCATATAGCTGGTACTGGAAGTCTGTGGGTCAGGGATGAGTATGCTGTTTTAGCTGCTGACCTTTCCTAGTTCCTCCTCCTATAAGGGGTGGGCAGCATCAGCGCAGCACTGCTGGCTATTCTTGGGAAACGTCTTACCTTCGTCATACCTCTATTCAGCCAATAGCAGTATGACTTCACCTTCAGACCTATATCATAGTGTAGCGATTTATACTATCACGGTGATTGGTTTTCGTCTCACTGCTACCTAATAGACCTTTACGATGTGGTAGGACCTTGAGAGAACATGCATTATAACCAGTGTATCTCGTTAGGTCATTGTGTTGTTCAAGCTCGACCACCACATCAAGGTGGCAGCTGTCGATCAGGCGTAGTCGATGAGCTACTTTATGATTGAGACAAGTTGATCTTTGAAAGTATAGGTCTTCGAGATGTTCGTGATTTGTGTATTTTAGCTTACGCCATATAGCTAAATGGTAATATATTTTTTAATGTATTTTCGTCGACGTATTTCCCTTTGAATACTTGTCTTGATAAAATTGTACTATTTTCATGACAGTCGATGAAGTTCTATTCTGCGCATTGTTTTTAACTATCAATTTTGATTTACCATGTAGTATACTGTGCATTTTTTTTTACATACTCCTGTGTATTCATGAGGTATACACGGAACAGTTGTTGTTTTCTTGATGGTGTCGTAAAGATCTACAGTGTTCGTTTCTTCCTGTTGTGGTTGCTTTTTATCCTTTTCGATGTACACATAGGAGTGGGATGTCTGAGAAGGAGCAAGATTTGCAGTGAAACTGAAGCATATTTGATAATTTGATAAATTATCTGTCACCGTGTTCGCTAATTTTCGTCCTGATTCTAACATTTCAGTATATATAATAATCACTTTATGGACCAAGGTTATATCACAGAAAACAGTCAATCTGTCATTTACTGTATATATTTCAGCTGAATGCATATTGGAGTAAAAAGACTTGGCTGAGTTGTTGTAGTTCATTAGTTTGGATAGTTGTACATTCCTTTTTAAAAGTTAGGAACAGAAACTTTCAGTCACTACTGGACAAAAATTAAGTAACACTACTGTCAATCAGTTTCTGAGTGGCCTAATGATACAATCACTTTTTTCTTTCTGAAATGTGGTATTTTACAGTTTTTAATAATCACAACTGAGTGTTAACCAGAAGTTAGTTCTAAAGATGATGCATGATCAAGCACTTTCATTTATCTTTGAAAGACTTTTCTTTAATCTTTTCATTGTTTTATACAATATAGTGAACTGACAGGAGAAAATTTCAAACAGAATATTGGCAGTGAAAATTTGATAGTGAACAGTTCTGTTAATGTTGGTAAGCAGATAGATTGTCTTATACTTTCATTTCCTATCGGCAGCTTCTGTTTACCTGATATTGTAGATTTGATTTCAATGTTGACAAATCAAATATTTTCACATAGTGAATAATTAAGAAAACAAGTTGTTCAGTGAAAAGACTGCTATCAACCAGTTGGAAATCTCTGAACTTAAGGTCTTTGTACTTTTCCTTCATGCAGTTTTCCAGTGAAATGAATACACTATGAATTATAGGTAGTCCATTAGGGTTTATATATTTTACCATATATACTATATACTTTGAAATGTCTGTTGGAATCTTATGATTATCTAGATTTTGAAAGTAGACAGAAGGCCGTATCCAGTTACGATTACACTGAAGTTCTGCGTAGACTTTCCTCCTTTTGATTATTTAATTTGACTTGTAAAATTCAAGACTTGATATAACCTGTTTTATCTTATCAATACATAGTGCCCCTGGCTGATTGTAGCGATTGGACTTCAGAGTGATATAAATTCAGTGTCGTCAGCAACTTCAGGAATAAATCCCTTGATGGCGATATGGCTCATCTACTATTGTACTAGACTTCGAAGCAACGATTCCAGGGTTCATATCCTGCACCGTTTACTTTGGTCTGAGAAAATTCTCACACAGCTAGTGTGGCTCATAGTGTAGTATATAAACATGTACGAGGTTGAATTGCACTAAATTATTACAAGTCCCTGGATGAGGTGAAGATAATGTTCACTTACAATTTTAACAAACAGCAACTGCCCAGCATTCTTTATCAGACAGTGTTCATTGTTCAGTTTGAGAACTGCTGTCTTGCTAACCGTCGCGGCTCTACAAAGACATCACAAAGTATTAGCAATCATCATCAAATACATTTCTTACGTGATACAAATTTAAAACAAGCGATGAAATTAACTAAGTAGGATTTTATATATGTATACCAATAAAATCTTCCATCGAACAAATTTTATTGAATACTTCCCTTTCAGTTTTTCTTTATGTTCTAAAAACGTCGTCGAAACCTATCACGTACTGTTGCAGATTTTTAAGAAGTTTTGAACTAGGTGTTTTTTTTAAACTTAAAATGATGAAAACATATCCTATAAAACAGAAATGAACGTTTGAATGCACAAAAATGCATCATATTTCAATTCTTCGGATACTTACCTCGAACAGTACATTCTACTACTGGCTGAATGCCCCACCATCATTAAACTTATGCTCATTTTACCGTTCATTCTTCATTACAGGCAAGACGTTAATCCGACACCATCTGGCTACTTCACATTATTGCTTTTATTGCTGTTATTATAAACATCATTGAGATGCAATAGTCACTTTTATTGAAAATGCTGTTTAGAAGTGAATTTATTAGGACATTACTTGGTGAGAATTTCATGCGATATCAGACAATATTTAGAATAAAGCTATTATGTACTTATATATATAAATATATATATATATATATATATATATATATATATATATATATATGCGCGTTGATGCGAGGTTGGATTTTAGTGAAATACAGCACAAACTGATCTATCACAAAATGAATTTTTTTGACACGTCAAGTGGAAACGTGAAAAGCCGAACAGAATATTGAAATGGATGACGAAGATTGAGTAGATTAGAAAAGTAGGCCATTGAGAACAAAAGTTGTAACTGAATAAAATGTTTGATAACAGTTTTGGGCTATAGAATCATTAGCATATTAGGTGCATTAGAAACAATTATAATGGTGATGAAAATATTATGGTTCATTGATAGAAGAAATTTAAGGGAACTGTGAGTACAAATCTGCTGATGATCGTAAGAGACTTAGTAGCGTAGATGTATCCTGCATATTTCATTTAGTGTTTTTTAAAAATCGAGTTTCATGGAATCTGTTCTTCTCTGTGATGTCTCCCAACGCTTTTGTTAACTATTGAGAAGTGGTGTTAGAACAGATTTCCCGAACTGCATCACACAACGTCCTAACCGGATTTCTTTTATACTGGGTCAGAACTACCAATCGTTATCACCAGAAAGAAATCTGAGAATCTATCAGCGTTGTTTTCGACTTTTTTTCTTAAAGTGAGATTTTGATGGCAGAAGCTAAGGCTCTACTATAGCTTTGTAGCTCCAGATGCTTTTAAATGGACTAAAAATATTATCCAATCACCACATTTTGTGGTTTATTTGCTGAATAAAACAGAAGGATTCTGCTGTCCAGATTTCAAAGAAATAGTGATGGAGAATGTTTATGACTCAGGAGCAGGAGAAAGAAGAAGAAATAAGTTTACATAAGGAAGATACAAATGAAACAGTTTACTTCTTGTGATCACCTCTGTATTATTCATATATTCTCTAAATAGTTTCAATTTGCAGACTTCAGTCAATGCCTTTTCAGAATACATTTTCGTGGTTCAATATAGCACTCAAGAAGTGGTGTTTGAATGAAGAGATTTTAAGTAAATCCATCAGCTTTGATGGCAATCTGCGAATGGTTTCTTCTGAACAGAAAATTAAGTCACCACTCTTGAACTATTTTTAAGGTTTTTTAAGTAGTCACCACTTCTTTCACTGAAGTATGCTTTGTCAAAACTTAAATAGTTGGCACTGCATGAATGCTTAGTATAAACAATCTCCTATACACAGAGCTAACTAGTAACTTTCATCAATAATTATTCAGTATCGAAGTCATAGGGCTTGTTTACTGTCAGATATTACTACCAAGTGTGTGTGTGTATGTATGTATAACTACAGCAGGCGGTTTTATTTCACTGTATTGGACAAATACTTTTTATATCCCTTATGAATAAAATGTGTTATTTGTCTCTTGTGATATATGGAACCTTTTTAATAGAGAAAAATGATATAAACCTAAATGTTCTGTCCTAATGAATCTAAGTTTGTAAAGCTGAAGATAATTATTATGTAACCTAGTTTATTTAAAAATCTTTCTGATTCATCTTTTTCATTGAAAAATAATAGCCACTTTGAGAAAACCGTCTTTGCATAGACTATCAACCCCACAGCAGTATGCCAATCACCTACAGTTAAATGATGATGATGAAGAGAAAAAGAGAATAGTGCACTATAATGAAGAGCAATCGGAAGTTGTACTAGATAAAGATGAAAGAAAAGAGGATGAAGAGGTTGTTGATGTTAATGATGATGAAGATGATATGGAGCAAACATCTGTGGGGAAATACTTATTGAACAACCTTAGTGATAATATAGCTGATGCTGCTAGTCATGCTTCTACTGCTATATCAGGTTTAATAAGTAAGTCTAATATTTTAAATCTTCGATTTATCACTAGAATTTTATATCGATTTAAAGTAATAATCTAATTAGTTACCTGTTATTCAGTTATTTTTTTTGGCTTCAAAAAGTCATTTAGAAAAATCAATACTATTCACTTGAGGAATAGAACATGAGAAGTGTTACATATGAAGTAGCTCGGTTTCTCATGTTCAAGTAATCTCTTAGGTAACAGTGGTTTGCTTTTTTTCTATTCAGTAAAGAATTCAACGGACGAACACATTCTTGAAAGTCTTTGTGTTAACTGAAGTATATCTTTTGATTGAATTGTAAATCATTTGTGTAAATAGACTGCCATCGGTTTGTTTGATGGGTTCCTAGACAGATTCCTGGATGCTTGCATTTTGCGTCTGCCTTGCTTTATTATTCTACATGGTGCATCTCTTGTTACCCAAACTGCAATACCTTTATTTTAAGCACATATTAGGCGCATTTTGATGCCAAACCATGCTGAGAGAGAATGTCATGGCATAAATGAAATTAAGTAAAATCTAAGCGTTTTAAACACAACGTTAAAAGTGATAAGTCTCAGTGGGAACAACACCACTCACTGGGGTGCGAGTATATCCAGCTGACGAGTTCCAAACATGACGAAATGCGGGTCCTTGATTTTCCTGCTGGGGACAACCAAGTAAGTTGTCATAACAAAAAATCAGGTAATATTAAGGCATCCGCATAGAACCCTATATGTCTGACGGTCGAACAATTCGATCCAGTAAAACAACCGAGAATTACAAGCACATCAACAAATAGTAAATATCTAAACCCAAGTTTGAAAAATTTCGATACAATTTGTGCAAATTTATAATGTTGTGCAAGATAACACCTAAAGGTAATCGTGTCTATCGATGTAAATTGGAATTGGATAATAAAATTATCAACTGGAAAATAAATAACGTTTCACTTGTACATTTTTATGGACTATCTAGACAAACAGAAAACAATTGTACGCAAGTCGGGTAATTTAATGAAAAAGATGGCAACAGAAATTCAAACAAGTGCAAAACATGATTTAAAAATAAATGATTCAATTGTTACTACTGACCCATCGAATAATGTATATAAGTCAAAGGAATTCAGTGGTCATAAGCAAGATGTTGATCTTATTCAGTCAGCATCGAAATTTGTTTTAAACCTACCTAAAAAGCAAATTTTTCATTTTGGTGCCAATCAAACAAGACAACAAGAAGAGCAGTTAAGTAATCGTAGCAGGACAATCTCAGTAAAAGAATCTAGTTCAAATCTCGTTAATGTAGAGAAAAGGTTGGTGAAATACGATTTTCTACTCGTTTCCTTGTTTTTTCTTTCTTCACTGAGAATAATAAATATTATCTTAGCCTGCTGAGTCGGTTTTATCCGTAATGAAATAGATCGGTGTTAACTTACACACCTATTCTTCTTGTTTATGTTTCGGATAGCTTATTCATACATCTCAATAAGATCTCAATGGTTTATTTTATGCAGTGCAGCTTGAAAACAGTTTCTTCAACAGTATAACTCTGTGATTTACCGTGAAAAGATTCTACTTTTTTTTCAGCAGTTTTTGAATAAGGAGCCAAATAGAATAATTCAGAAAGTCATAAAGTATTACACTTAGCCAACTTCTGTGTGTAATTGTGTTGTTTATCAGTTAAAGTTTCTTATAGAAATTTTTGTATTGGGAAAAGTAATGGTAAAACTAGAATCAACTGTATTTCTTCGCAGAGTAATGTATTCATAAAGATAAGTAAAATTAGATGATTGTGGTCCAATGACCAATAGCTTTTAGAAAGAAAGCTTTCATATTATGATACTGCAATGTTAATAATGTATTTGTATGTGTCGTGTATTTCTTCAGACCATTTTTGCAATTGGTCGAGTTCTAAATAGTGTTTTCATGATAACAAATGAGTGTTTCGATTCTGTCACATTCAAGACTTTGTGCAAGAATACTCCCATACTTGTGACATAGTTAATTTTCAATGCAATGAGTTACATTCAGGAGAACCACATGAATTTAGAGAATTTTCGGGCTAACTACCACATTAGGAATGTCTATTATCTTGACTTCTTCTGAGTCTCATTTTCAATATTATTCACTAATAGTTAACAAGCACTGACGTTGGTTGGCTGAGACAAAAACGTCCTAATAATTGATATATATGCGTAACACCAAGTCCAAGGTTCAAAGCGTCACCATCCACTACACTGATAACACAATGCTTATTTACAAAAAAAGACTGCTTGGCGTTAAAAATTAAAAATCATGACTTATGCAGCTAACCGATGAATTTAAAATTCAGGACGGATGCCCATCGATGACAATGACTGGTTGTCGTGCTATCTCATAAAATGCAGAAGGTTGGATTATTGGACTGTATATAGCCTACTTTCTGAATGGTAAAATGATCCCTTATGGATTAGATCATACCAATGTTCACGTATGAGAAACGACAGTAGGCTGTGAACTAAGATTAACTAGGCATCTAGTATTTTTTAGTATTTAACCTTTCTGTGGCTGATTTCAGTGTCATAGAACTACAGTAATGATGGGTAACAGCTAACAATAAGATCCTGGGCGCGCACTTCGTCCTATTTTGGAATCATCATGTTCCTGCCTCCCAGTGGGCTATGTTGCCCTCACTTAAACCTGAACTCGGGGACGATTGCTTCAAATGCCTTAGCGCTATCTACTACACCAGTGAGTTACAATGGCCGCTTGTACGACGGGTATAGTTTTTATGTTGTTGATCGTCGGGCAATATCGAGACATCTGCGCAGGAGCCCATGTGTTGATACAGATCGATCGATTTGGTTCAGTCAAGGACGGGATAATACGGGCAACAACATAAAAACTATACTTGTCTCACGAGAAGTGACTATTGTGACTCACTGGCGTAGTGAATAACCATCTGGTGTTTGAAGCAATCAGTCACGAGTTAGAATCTTAGTGGGAAGAACATCGTTGACTGAAAGGCAGGTACATCCAGCTGACAAGTCCCGAACGAGACGAAACGCAGATCCTGGATTCGACTGCTAGTCACTTCCCATCATTACTATAAACTTGAAACGACAGGTAATATCAAGGTATACACACAGAAGCCAAACAACGACGGGATAATACAAGCAATAATATATTGATAACTATCCTAAAATATTGCTTAACTGAAGGTTCTTACCCTATCAAGTATGATAAACACTGAGTTAAAAATAAATCATTTTCTTTATATCATATTTCAGAATGGTAGGAGCTAATATCATAGTGTTACATGTAAATTCTTCGGTCAAACCGTTTTTCTTCAGAAAAATGTCAGTTGTTTGACCACCATATGAGGTTTTTATTTCTTTCCAAGGTAATCAGCTATGGCCTAGAAATCATTTATTTTAAATCCATTCATCAATTATCTCTTAGTAGACTCCCGGAACCTTCTTGTGTACACCTAGGAAACTTGTTTAGCTTATAAACTGAGTTGATAAGAGATATTTGGATTTCAAAATAAGCCAATGGGTTTGAATTTCTTTTGCTTCATATTTTGCACTACTTTAAACTTGTTAGTAGAATGTTTCAAACTGCACCATGAAAAATGACTGCATGTTCATATATGTCGTTAGGTAAACCAAGTACTACTACCTCGAAAACTACAATTTTTGGATAATGTTTTACAATGGCATTCTTCCCTTAAATTCTTACCATTTTCTTTTTCGGTACAAAAATTCACATCTTGCTTGCTAGGACGGTTAATGACCAAAAATAAAAAAGTACTCCTTATGCTTAGGTAACTGCTTTTTTGTCTGAAGAATTTAATATATGGATTCGCTTCCTGAATGTTTTGAGTTTCTTTCATATTATCTGTCTATCGAGCAAAGGTTTTTTGAAAACACTGATATTAGTTCGTAGATTTCTCTAACCAAAGTCATACAGATATCAGATGGTCACTTTGCTCAGTTTAGTCCCGGTCACCAGATGAAAATGGATTTAGTTGTCATATTGTTAGTACTGAAGGAATTCTTTCGGCTAAAGTAGCAATTATGCCATTAGGCTAAACGAGATGATACTGAAGTGGGTTGCATTCTTCAAAATTAATGGCACACTGGTACCTACCTGCAAAATTTTTACTGTTTTATCTAGCCGTTGGTTCGGCGATCATTTACATTGTTTCTCATCATTCCGTTGTGTAATTTTGAATTTCATCGTTTTCTTTCTCTACAATGTTTCTATTGTTCTACACTTTTTTGTACTAACCTTCTCTAATACATCTTCAAACATTTTTTATACCTGTCTTATAGTTATGCAGATCAAGAATTTCTTCGTGAATTAGTTCAGTGTATACATGAAAAAAAGACAGGCATCACAACAAAATTCTCTGTGAATCGACTTCGAGATTTATTGAATGATGAAAATTATCGAAATTATTTAATGCTGAAGTTAAATCGTGAACTGTCAAAATCATTTGAAGATCCCGATGAGTGTATTCCGGATGTTGTATGTTTTTGTTATGATGATACTTAATTCTGTTATTATTTCCACTCCTTGTGGCAGTAATTAAACTTTCTTTACATTTTACTGTCTACTATTGAAAGGTTTCATGATATTGGATTATTGCTGTCGCCCCGTTCTATAGTTCATTGGTAAATAAAATGATGCCTGACACTATGTGGGCCTAAAAGAATCTTTCAGAATGTTGTGTACCATTTACCTATCTCGATTAGATTTTTCGTGTGAAGATAATTGTATCAAAAGTTGTTTGTTCGCAACCGTCATTATAAAATATCTTCAATTATTTGTTTGTATCATAGCTACTCGTTTCACCTTTATGGATACATTATTTTGAACTCTTCAAACTGTCGAAGTTAGATATGACCATATATCTTTCATAATATTGTTAGTCAGTGCTGTCCTTTTAAGCAGTATTTGGTGTTCGGTCTTGAGTTCATTTATAACTGCTTCCCTCACCGCCCCCCGCAAATGACACTGACTAGCACTATTTGTGTATCAACCTGTTATTTGTAAAATATGCTTTTTTACAATCTCATAATTGTATATCTCATCTTTACAGTACATAGGAGCTCGTAAATATATATTTTGTGTAATTGATAACTGGACCTATTACCATCGATAACTATTCACATGACCTACTAGTTCAAGGGTTTTTGAAGCTAGCTGCGATACAGCTTGTCTATATCACATATGTCATGCGTCTTGTCTCGATCATTTACACTGCAGTTCGACGGTTAAAGTCGTCTCCAACAAAACCATGATTGAGCATTTGCCATTAATCTTTGATCGCTTAACCTTACTTTTTAATAAAGTTTACTAGTGCTTAGTTTATATATCTCTTTTAATTTTCTGCGTGTTTTCTTAAATTACAAACTTTTTAGGCTATCATAAATATGGATGCATACAAAACGTATATCTGGTTATTACAATCTATGATACGTGGTCTTGAACAGACATGTACCAATCATGGGATCGGTGGATTAGCCAGTGCTATGATGTTGCTTGAACTGTGCCATACTCATTATCTAGATATGCGTTCTAACACAGTTTCACCCATCAAGTCACAAGGATCTCAAGTGAGTTGAAACCTTCTTTTCTTTTCCTTTCACATTTCTTCTGTAAGTAACTAAAACCTATATATTATTCCTAATTAAAGTAATTTCTTTTGTCTAAATCGGCTGTGTATGAGACCAAGATAATAGAAGCAGTCGAAAAAACGAAAAACTTGCAAAATAAAGGAAACTTATTTAAATAAACAGTTTACAGAATAGAGATGTAAGAGTGACATTATCAACTTTCTACATTCCGTATTATGTAGATTTTAATGATGTTCAGACAGTTCCATATGTGATACCTTTCGTCTTATGAGCATTGATGATGAGATATAGATGTTGTATTCAATCACCACTTTTCTTTTAAAGATGGCTAGCTTTCTTGTCTATTTGTTTCCAGAAAGTGTGATATTTTTTGAAGGATTTTGTTATTGGAAATTTCAACCTACAGAAATGCAAGTAATGTAGACCAACATATCTTAGACATTTTCTTTAGTCAGACAATCATATGACCAACTCTAAACACTTGTTTTTCTCATCACTTGTTATTCACAAAGATTCAACGGCCTTTCATTTGTACATAAATTAACATCTCTGTTATTTAAATCTAACTTCTATGAAAGTATTACGAGTTGATTTACGTAGAATATCTGTAAAAAGATGAGTGTAGGTGGTGTTTGAGCATTTGATATGCATTTGATATGGAATCAAAACATTAACTATATCATAATCCTCTGTTTCCCTTGTTTATCTTAGTATATAAAAGTGGTCAAATCCAATTTGCGACAGTTTGCGTTAGTTTAATAAAAATGCAAGTGGAGTTGAAAAAAGGTATATAAATACGAAGGGCTTCAGTTAGTAAGGACCAATAAGTGCAGAGAAATACAATATTCCATGTGTTTTTCTTGATTGATGAGTCTCCCCACCCCGTGAAATAGCAAAGGTTCATAAATATCAAACAGCAGCTCACCGTTATTTTATTCCTTTTCCTCAAATAGCTGAAATATTCGGGAAATGTAAACTAGGTATCAGTTCATTATGGTCTTCATGCCTCATATGACATTCAATAGAGTTAAGATTGATATCAAAGATCCTTGACCCTTCTTCCTTCTTTCGATGGAAGCCTCCCAAAAACTCTTGATGTATTCTGTTGTTTTGATTTTAAATAAAGCTGAAATGCATATAATTTTACGCTTACAGTTAGCTGTTACGAATAATCTTGGTCTTCAAATTATGTCGAGTAATTTTATATGAAATGAGAACTAAGTGTATAGCTAATAACGTATTTAGTTTTTTAGGTGGCTGAGGTAAATAGGAATAATCACAGTACTTCTGGTTATAGTCATTACTTTCAGGATCTTTAATTTTGACTAAGGAGTAGGAATGTTGTATGTGATGAAGCCTTCGCAGTTTGTTATAGTTATTAATGTGATAGATGATGTGTTCTGTTGTGACAACTGATTAATTGTTTGGAAGATATCTTTGTATCATAGAATGACTAAGATCACTTTTTTTTATTTCCCATCCATTCAGAACTCAACAGTAGATCAATCTCGAGACGATGAAAATCTTGTCACTGCTTTCAGTGAGTAAATATTTACATTAACTAATGACACATTACTAATGGTGTAATTCACGTATGTCTATGATCAACAATACCTTGTTCTAACTTTCTTTTTCAGTGCATATTTGCAGCATAGATTTGTTCCATGAAACTTTGTGCTTGTAAAAGTTACTTTCAAGTTAGAATTTAGATATTCCTTCGTGTTTTCTGTGGTCGTCTCGTAGTCTTGACTCGAATGACAGAACATGTATTGAAAACATGCAGGTTATTAAATTTAATGTGTTGTGGTCATATATATATATATATATATATATATATATATATATATATATATATAAGGCTCTTCGGTAATCCTAAAACTCAATAACCATTTCGTCCCATTCATTTCAATTCAATGACCATATTTTCATATTTCAGTAACTGTACACTGAGAAGGAGTATGTAGCGTATGTAGCGTGTTTGACAAATAATGTTAGCCATAAAGTTCACAAGCTAACTAAACTGACCGCAATGCTTGTAAATTTTGCATTTAAGTTCACAATTTGATCAAAATAACTCAGTGACAATGAATAACGGTAGTGAATAGTTCAGTCATTGAAGATATACTGTTCATTGTAGGCTGAATTGATGAAATATTATGATTTAGTTCCATTTAAAAAAAAACTGTAGTTGCTTTCTTCGTGGTTTAGCTGCAACCATATAAAGTGTTTCATTCACTAAGAAGCATCAATTCTATCATAGAAAAATCTAGTTATATGCAGAGACTATTAATATATATCAATGCTAGGTTACGATTGGGCCACGGTAAGATTCGGACCAGCGACCACTGGGCCTCTCGCTTAGTGCTCTGCAAACTGAGCTACAAGGCTGAACCCGATAGAAAACTGGGCCGCGGACCCGGTGGTCGCTAGTTGTAATCCTGCCATGGTCCAGATTTTCATTTCACTTGGAATCATCACCCAGTATGAATATGTCTGCCAAATCACTGGTATTCCATATTGCCAAACCAATAAACGTATATGCTAGTTGATTTTTGAAACATATTTACTAAATACTATTATGAAAACAGATGACCTAACAATTACTACAAGGTTTTTGTACTATCACTTTTAAAGAGTGATCGGAAGGTTATGCAGAATTTCCCCATTTCCTTGGATCAGTTTAAGATTTCGCTTGAAGTTTGGTTATAAATTAAATAAGGAAAACCACCTTCATTGAATGTGACTAGTGCTTCGAGTATTATTTGTGGTGAAAAGATTCCTTTACAAGTTTTATACTTCACACTCACTTAATAAATGAACCAGAAGTGTATAACACTCATAGGAATGAAAATATTATAGGAATGTAGCGATTCCTAATTTACATTTCGACAATGAAGTTCATACATGATGAGGTGGCTGTTTTATTCCATTTGGTATAACCCTCTAATTTAAACAAAACCCTAATATTTTTGTAGCATACATAGATTCTAAAGTTTCTGTCCTCCCTTTGACTTTGCAAAAAGTATTCTTTCGTCAATGATATGTTACCTTTACATTTGGGAAACTAAGTGTTTATATACATGATGTCGCATATACTAATATAATGCTGATAAACTTTTATTTACTGGAATACTTTCAGCTGGATGGCTACGAACAACTACTAAAGATCTGAAGAAAGTTGCTAAACCGAATATAGTAACAGGTGAGTCTTATAAACTACAATAACAGGGGAACTACTTGAAGATATATGATTAATACACATTTAATTAATATACATTTGTTTTCCATTATATTTTGCTTTTGATAACTGTGGCTAAATTCAGTGACTGAATGGTAACGTGGTTACTGCGAAACGTGATGATTCTTAGCTAGATTCCTCGTCGTCCCATGGATGTGCACTACTGATTAATTACTAATGAAACAATCAGCCGATGCTCCTAAGTTTACATTAATTCTCCAAATGATGTCAGTCTCTTTGCTGAATAGAGAACTGTCTTGAAAATGTCAGCTTCTTTTTATCCTAATAAATCAACAGATGATTGTTGACTTTTTTTTAAAGAATAAATATCCTACGTAATTTATAATGAATATATTTCCCTCGAATGTTTACACATAATGTCATTCAATTCCGCTCATATTTTGAGTAAAATTACTCCTCGTGATCACACCAGTTGTTGAAATTATTTGTTCACACATATACGTTTGGGATTCATTTATTTAGTATTTTTATTTTGAAAGTTTGTCATTATTTTTCTCCAGTAGTGTTTTCCATGTTATTGATAGTTGTGCTGAGTCACCTTTATTGTATGTGTTAGGTGTGACTTGTATGAACATGGATTCAGTTAACAATGTTTCCATTTGTTCATGTTGGACTTCAAGTTGTCGTTGTCCGAATCAATATTTTGTTTTTCATCCCACGGATTTACTGCTATTGGTGAACTCTTCCAAATTTTTATATTCTTGTATCCCTGTGTTCTTGTCTTTATTTAATCGTCTATGTTCATTCTCTCTGATTTTGAGTGATCTCGACGTTTGACCTACATAATTAACTGGGCAATCAGTATATTTTGTACACGATGTTGTTTTGTACATATTAATTTTGGTTTCAGTCGACGGGTTGCTGCTGCTTCCGCATAACATACCAATCTACCATTTCATTGTCTCTTGATTAGCTTGAAAGCTATGTTTGGGCCGATGGCCTAATCTGTATCGATGATATGCTTACAAATGATGCTGCTTGGTAGCCTTCCACTTCTCAATGACAGGCGTTTTGATACCGAAGCACTAAAGACAAGATTAGAAAAGGGGGATGATCTGGAAGAAAGAACACTTACCTATGGAAGATATATTAAACGGTATCGAATAATATTTAGCAAAGAAGTATTTCACATTTGAAGGAAAGTAATGTCAACAAAATGAAGAAATAGCCGTGGGGTTACCCATTTCACCAAAAATAGCCGACATATTCATGGATTTTTTGGAAGAAAGAGCCTAAAATCATACATGACCTCAATCAAATGTTGGTGGAGGTATATGTAGGGCACAATGGTCATAATAACGACATTCACAATTTCCATGATAATATAAATAAGCACGTAGACTCAAATTCACTAAGTAAATAATGAATGAATTAGTAGAACTACTAATGCTAGACTGTTAAATGCAAAGAATGATAGGGAATTTTAAAGACTATGATCTAAAGGAAACCTACACATTGAGAAAGATTTCTGGATTACTACTCGAAGCATTAGCTCAGTGTATAAAGAGGTTAATACAGAGTCTAGCAATTAGGATACGTAGATTGACAACGTACTCTGAAGATCATAGAAACAAACGTTTTATATATAATGTCATTGGAAAATCACTATCCTGAATAATTCACTAGAGAGAATATCAAGAAAAAGACACGGGAAATAAAAACGCAAAAACTATAAGAGAGAAATATAAAAAAAAAACTGTAGTACTGCCATCTAGGTCGATGCACAGAGATCTCAGAACAGCAGGTATTCGAAACCATATTCAAGTCCATAAACTTCATCAAAAATAAATTAAATCAACTGAAAAATTCCATAAAGTACACGTTTCCTGATCATCAGTTGACTGGATGGTTTGAAAAAAACTTGGGGATCGAGTTAGTATGCTTCATCTTATAAGCTATACTTTTACTTTTGTAATATCGGCGTAGTATAATGGAACAAATAACAAAAAAAAAAATGATACAAAATATTTGTTTATTCTATTATTTGTTGTAATATTCTACGCAAGGATTGCACAAGTAAAAATACACCTTATACAAGAACAAATTGTTAACTGAATCCATGTTCATACAAGTCACACCTAACACATACAATAAAGGTGACTCAGCACAACTATCAATAACATGGAAAACACTACTGGAGAAAAATAATGACAAACTTTCAAAATAAAAATACTAAATAAATGAATCCCAAACGTATATGTGTGAACAAATAATTTCAACAACTGGTGTGATCACGAGGAGTAATTTTACTCAAAATATGAGCGGAATTGAATGACATTATGTGTAAACATTCATGGGAAATATTTTTATAATAAACTGATTCTCTCTATAATACACAAATTTGTCATGAATATAACATACTAGGTAGTTTGAAAGTTTTTTCCAGCTTTCTAAAACTTTTCAGATATTAATAATTTGGTTGTCCGAGAAAAGTAGCGTTTATTAATTTTGAATTCAATATGTAAATTTGTTAGAGTTTGAAGATTTCCTCTGTGGTTTCCTGCACTAAATAATGAGTTCTCTATTGTGTGTTAGCCCAAGATACTAGCAGGCAATCTAGTTTGAAACAACAGTTTTGTTGAATTTTTTCCGAATGGTCTGTAAAATTTATAAACTGAACATGGTTTTCAGCTCTTTAGTGTCATAGTTTATGTTACACACCGAAACCTGAAGGGTAGTTATTCGATTTCATATTAGATCAAAGGTTTGCACTGCTGAGACACCTATATCCACGTCAAATTCGCTTATTGTTTTCAGGTTTTCTATGTTTTTTCCTTATGATGTTGGTCTGATATGAGAACAGTTTTCATATTCATATCATAGTGTGACTTCATAGTGCAAGAAATTTCTGTGATGATTTCATTTTGATCTGCATTACTGACAGTCAATGAAAAAATGTCATCCCTACCTCAATTATCTTTTTATGTTCCCTTATTTCGTGGTAGCCTTATTTGTTTGGTTGAATATAGTCTAATCCTAATGGTCACATGAAATATATTTACAAGAATTTAGATTGTTCTAAATGCGTACAGTTAACTATGAATTATCTGGATGGAAAATTTGATTGACAGTGGGCTAGCTATCTGAGGTAGTCATGGGTAAAACAAATGACATTCTTGTAATAATGATCTCTGAAGTGCAGTGGAATCGGGTGTCATGGTTTACAGCTAGGTGACTTGTTTCCAATGCAATTTATTAAGATTCATGTGAATGAAAATGACCACTTTTCATCGTCCTCATCGTTTTTAAGGGTAATTTAAAATATCGAAAGTGTATATCGGTATCGTCTGTCAATTATCCTACCGTACATGATTTATATGACCTATTTATAAGAAGCGTTATCACAACTAAGTCAGGATTTTTAAAATGTATCGGGTTAGTTAACTCTAAATTTTCTAAATCAACTTCCTCCACTAATTATACTGTCCAAATTTCGTGTTGGACTGAGTCTACAAGATCAAAACCAAACTAATGCGAATAATTTACGTTGATTCAGCTTGAGACAAAACCACAAATTTAGGTATCTGAGTGCTGAACAGTCTTAAATATCATAGCGTATTTATTATAAGCAAAAGCAGATAGTACTGATTAACAGCCAGTAATGTGAGCAGTGTTAGCCATTAATGTAAACTAATCTCAAGAAAGGATAATCACATATGAGAGTTTAACACAAACAGAATTAGAAATGAATCCATTGACAAACAGTGCCCAACTAAAATAAAAATAAAAATCGTGGTCCAACTGTTGAGTGTAAGGTGAAATATTTGACGCTCATACGTCATGATATAATATTAAATGCGGAGAATATAAATTACGTAACAAAATTTTTACTTCGAGTAATGATATATCTTATTGCCAAATTTTAATGTTTCAAAAGTTCTATTCACTTTGAAATATCAATATATTGCACACTGATGTCTTCGGTTTCAGTCGTGCATTTACTTGTATTATCTCGACGAAAACTGTCGAGATTTTGAGAGTCAACATTTGTGCAGTCAAATAATGTATCTTGCCAATAAAAATGTTCACAAATGGCTTTTAGATTATGCGCGTTATAATACCCTCAGTCCAAAACACACAGATTTATAATAACCATTAGTTTATCCCCAGAATGCAATCTAAGAATATTTATTGTAATTTTTTCTTGTCTTTTTGATTGACGGCAAAATGTCTTCCAAGTCATTCCATACTATGTCGAGTTGTATATTATCTAGCTGTTTCACAGAAACTTTTAAATACTAGTCCAAAAATTACTGTTATTGATATTATTCTACTAAATATTGTCTGTCATTTACGATTATTTATGTTATTTGATCGACTTGCTTTCTCACATTGTAGTATTTTTGTTTGTTACCAAAGGCTAGTTAAAAGAAACCAAGCTAAGCATTATTCATCGAAAAATATAACGGGCCAGTTAGAAATTTTAAGTTGAATAGTCATCAACACACTAACCCTACCTTTATGCTTTCCTTGATGGTGATCAACAGTGGTTTCAATCGATATTTCCAAGGGTTAAGTCTTCACGATCAATGTGATGATGTCGTTAGCAAATGATGGGCTTGAAAAGTTAGAAACATATATAGGGGTATAACTTGGGCACTGTGGTAGATCGTAATTTCATTTTAGTCTGGCTGATAGAAATGTCACACATTGAAACAATATCACTTACTGGATAACTTTTTGGACATAATTTATTGTCCATATTCATACCGGGTAGCTCCACTACTATGAGACAGAGTTTATAATGTCCTAATTTTCTCTCTTTCTTTGTGATGACAGGGTTAGTTAGAAGTCTCCATATATCTGGGACAGGTGCAGAATCATTTCTATTGTATGCATTGGGTATTGATTCAATACACAAAGATTTCATTATCAATCTTTCTCTCCACCCAACTAAGTTAGCTTTTAACGCTGTAATGCCTAATAGGTACGTTCCTTGTATG